TCCTTTTATTATCATTATTGCCATTTTATCATAATTATTATTATCATTATTATTTTCTTCCTTTCTGTCCTATTAAACTGTCTTTATCTCAGCCCATGACTTTTTGTTTTTTTCCGATTCTCTCCCCCATCCCACTGGGTGTGGGGGGGGGCTGTAGAAGTGAGCGAGCAGTTGCATGGTGCCTAGTTGCTGGCTGGGGTTAAACCACGACAGTGGCTTAAATAATGTTAGAACTAGAAGTCCGTCAGGCCTTATGGTTCCATACACTGCAAATTGTATTAGATGGCTGTTAGAGGAGTGGTGTGAGCTTCAACGCCGCTGTGGAAAGGGGCTGGTTTTAACTACATGTTCCAACTAAATGTGATGTGGTTCAACTCTTTGGTCACCTTGAGCAGGTTTGTGGTCTCCGTTATGCATGCCATTCAGTCGCATCAAGTTCAGTTCACTGAAGAGATGGGGGGTGGGTGTTGGTGAATTACCTGCGTTTTATGTGAGATTTAATCTGGTCGGTACCGAGTGTACCTTGTGAGCCGAGCTCTGCCTGCCTGAGGAAGAGCTGGGCCAAGCCGGCGGTCTTGGTAGCAGCAGCATTCGATGTCCTGCGCATCCCTCAGCCAAGGAGACTGCCTCAGAGGTTATGCCTAGCTGGTGACTTCACTTTTGATAAGCAAGCTTACTTGGAGAACTTAAGTCTTTTATGCATGTCTTTTTAAATTACATGATAACAAAAAAGGAGAGAGCAATATGGGACTGTAATGAGGCTGACTGCCTACGTAGTGTAACAGTGGGAATAGCTTGGTTTTGCCACAGTTCAGACGGATGAAATCTTTTCAAGTCACTGGTTGCTGCAGCATCTTCACTCCTTTTTCACCTCGTGGTGTTGTCTTAGGGGCTTGGTGAAGTGTGATAGAAGGGAGAGCAAGGAAAGGGTGTTACCAAAGCCAGATGGTGGTTGCTGGTGTTGAGAAGACTGTATTACCCGGCCTGGCAGGAGCCGGGAGTTGGGCAAGCTGGCTGCAGGAACAGGAGCAGCTTCAGGAGTTACTCAGTTTTCCATGTAGGTTATTAAATAAAACTCTGCTATAGTCCCATGTTTTCTTCAGTGCAGCAGTTTAAGAACCTCTGTGTCTGGTTTACTCTTTGCATCCCTCCTGTTTTGGAGGATCCCTATGAGCTAATGAAGCTGTGGACATGGGCTAAACTGGATTAGTGAAACATTCATTTTTGTTAACCCTTCTTCATTCTCTATTTTTAATCCAAATAATTTCACTGATCCTATTTTGAGTGGGGTGCCACAGATAGTGTTTTTTCCAATGGGAAAGAAATTCTGAGATTCTCTGCTTCACTGCTGTTCTTCTGCTAGTTGAGGCATCAGGTCTTATTCTAAACTGGTGTTTGTGAATTTGTACAATGCCTAGTGAAATGATGTTTCTCTATGCTTTTATGCTATTATTTACATTAAAAAATACAGTAGGATTCTTATTGTTTTGAAGGTTTGATGTTGAGAAGCATGTTGGCCTGAAACTTCCTGAAGTATTCCTGGTGTTTTTTTCTGGCATTTTGTATGTTTATGGATTTCATATGTTGTTTGACAGTTCCTGACAAAAAATCTTAGAGTTGTAGCTATTTGGTTACTGTTTCTGCTTTAAATCCAAATTATTTGTAATTTTGTAGTCTGTGGGGTGGTTTGTATCTTCATTTTTGTGGGGCTTTTCCTATGCTGTGACAAACAGCTGAGTGATAACATGTATGTGGGGATCATCAAAAGTGTCTGAAAGGCCTCCTTACTCTTCAGCAGGCAATACTGTGTTCCATTAAAAAAAAAAACAAAAAAACCCCTTTGACATGGAACTTGCACAAAAGAGAGAAATTATTTACAGAGAAATCATGTTTGAAGACCTCTTTATTGTAGCTCAGATCAATAAGAAAAGTACTTCCTAACTATTACTTCTGGTAGAGGAGAGGCACCTTATGAAAAGCATGATCTGATGGTAGCAGTCCTTTGATAGTTAAGTGTGGGAACGTCTACTTTGAAACTTGTGGGATACATCATAAGTTTATCAGTTTATCTTCTGTTATTTTGTCATTTTCTCAGTTCTAGAATAAAACTTTGTCCATTTGTGCTGATGCGTTTGTCTCCTGCGTTTGTTAAACCTGCTCTTGTCTTCAGTGTTTTTATTAAAATCATTTCAGTTAGTACTCAATTGATCAGATGTCTAATTCACACAGTGACAGATCTTGAAACCATGAGTTATTTTTGCCTGCTGGAGATGTGCTGCAATTGGTATTTTGCTGGAGCAGGGTGTTTGTGTTTGAGACTTCTAACTGATCATAAAGGTAGAAATTTAGGGTTAATTGCTTTTTGACTCTTGACATGAGCAAATATTGTTTGTGGATTATTTTTTTTTCCCTGTCTGTTGAAGGATATCTACTGACAAGTACTAGCTACTTAGTGAGAAAAGTGCAGGGGGAGGCTAAGCGATGGACTTGCTGGTGCTCAGGTTCTCTTTAGTTGTAATGGCAAGAAAATAGGGTGGCCAGTGTCCTGGAGTTGCGCAGATCACCTTTCTGTTCCTGGGTTGAACTTCCCAGATGTTGTTGGTGAGCTGTCACTTGAGATTCCCTGCCCTATCAGTATCTTTGGAAGTCAGTGTTGCCCAATCTGAAGGTCCAGTGGTTTGCTGTATTATAAGCTTTAAGGTTCTTACAAAAAGAGGTAGCTAAAGATGGAAGACTGTGCTGCTGTGAAAGAGAGAATGAGCATCATACTCGCGCAGAACTCAACGCGACAAATATGATATTGGAGGTGGGTGGCCCTAGAAAAGAAGTGTAATATGGAGGCACTCTGGCAAGAGCAGTGTCTGTGCAACAGCTGAATTGTTTGATGAATTACAGGAAGGCATGTAAGCGTTGCCTTATGTTTCTGTCTGGATCAGAACTTGGTGGGTTTCCAGAAATCAATTTCAGTACTTTCATAAATTATAGACAGACTTCAGGTCTAAAAAAATTTACGTGTGTGTTGGACAGAATACCTCTTCAGAGGAGATGGACAAGGCTTCTTAAAATATAGAAGCATCCATTCAGTGTTGCTCTTTTATCAGAAGGGGAAAGCAGCGTCATGTATTTTGCAATATTAATCATCTTAATGAAAAGGTCTTTGAGTCACAGATTTTATTTCAAAAATATGCATGACCTTGCACATAGGTGAACCCAGTGACTGTGGTGTGTGGTTTCCAAGTTCAGGAGAAAATTTGGTCTTCAGATATTTTCTCCCTTATATGTATGTGGAAGAAAAAAAAAAACAGGAACAAAACAGCTTAGCAAATGTCTCAGGTTTTTCCTTGGTTATCTAAATGCTGACATTACATCATCTGCACGGATGTAAATATAGAAAATAGTAGGTGTGTTAAATCTCTTGACTTATTTTTAAAACCTCTTTTACAGAGGACTCTCTTTACTTGAGTGTATGTTTGTGTCAGTAAATAGCCATGTGGCATTATGTCTATTTTTTCTTTTTTTGGGAGATGGGAAGTTTCTTTAAATGCTAATTTTCATCTTTTAAGATTGTTTTTAGCTCTTGCGGAAGTGCTGTTATGTTTTCTGTCATTGACTCTGCTCTTTCCCAAGTAGGTTGTATTTCAGTGAAGTTGTGTTTCTGTTTTTTCCTAACTATTCCTCTCTATACGTTTCAGATTTTCCCAAATAGGCTTTTTATTTCTCTCTGAACAATGGTATTATTGAACAAAGTAATAAATAATGTATCTGTGTGGTTTTGTATGAAAATCAGCTGAGCTGTTGATTTTTCAGACAAACGGGAAAAACAATCCCTCCTTTAATTTTAGTGCTAAACCCCAGAGGATTAGCAAAATAGATGGGAATATTTTGGCTATTGTAAGACCTGTCCTAGGTCCTGATTCAGAATAAGTTCCCCGTTTGAGGTAGTATTTAAGACTTGGTTTAAACAAAATCCAGACTTACATGACTTCTCAGCTGTCAAAGGACTTCTTAAACATTCCATGGAAATGAAGTTTTGTTTGGTGTAATGTGTTTGTTAAGTTCTTTATTGTATATAGACACTGTTTTAACAATCTCTGCATATGGCTACTTTGTCGAATTAAATGTTGTATGAAATAAAGGTTCTAAGTTGGCTTAGAAATTGAACTTTAAATATTACTGTAAAAGTACAGAACAAACCCAACCAATTCTGAAATCAATTTGTATTGCCATGTAATTGCTGCATGTAAGAAAACAAGTGAGGAGTTGAAGTGTGTTTTCTCTTTTGCAGGTGTTGCTGAAATAGTTTGATTTATTTAAAGCATATGATTTCATGCAATTGTGCTTGATTGTTAGTGCAGCTGTCAACAGCTGCATGCTCATTTAGCTAATTGCATTCTAGTAGGATAGCTAAGCTTATTTTAAGATACGCAGTTGTGCGCTTTTTTTTTTTAAAGCAACTACACATATTCAGAAGATTTACTGCAGAAAGTTCTGTGTTATCACAATGAACAATCATTGCTTTAGAGGAAATTTGAGACCTTATAAACAAGACTCTTATCAGCCAGTCTAGTGTGTGGATAGCATCTGTGAAAAGTTGGACAATGCCACCTAAATGCATGTAGTTCTAAAGGCCTTGCAATGGCCTTGTCCTTGGGGTTAATTTCATCATCTGCTCTTTGGAATTATTTTATGGTTTAACATGTAAAGCTTTCATTTAACAAGCAACTAATTTGTATTGCTGCATCAGTGTTCTGGTTGTGTATACAGGAACTATGCGCTTCTGTTACATACTGATCATCTCCTTCAAGAAATATGTACCTGAAATGAGAAATTTGTATGAAGTTGCATATGTATAAAAAGCATATTAGGAGAGTAGACTATCTATTATGCATGCTAATTCTGTGTAGAATACTTGCATGTTTTTTGCTGGTATGTGTTAGCTACATAATTACAGTCAACAGTATGAAATTTATAATGCAGTGTTGTTTTTATTTGTTATATAGCTTTATGCCAGTATATACAGGCCTCTAAAACCCGAGATGGTGCCAGCCGTTTCATTTCAAGTGCAACAGAAGGTAAAGGAAAAAGTGTGGGGAAAAAAGCGCACAATTTTTTTGTTCATCTGATACCCTATCTTCACGGGCATTTATGTGGTTCTTGATCTTTTAACCTTCTAGACTCTCTCTTCACAGCTAACTTCTTGTAATACATGGTTGATACCCTTTTTTTCCTGTCTTGAAGAAGAAATTAAGTGATGCCACTTGTATGTCTATCTTAAACTTGCATCATCTTTGCATCTTGTCTATTTGTGCTTTTCTTCAGTAACAAAATTCCACTGAAACTGAAGCTTTAGATATGTTTTAACAAGAATCTGAAATATCTGAAGAGTAGCTTAGAGAATTGCTGTCATGACCACAATCTCAGGATAGTTGCGCTTAAGGAAAAGCACAGATACTTAACGACATAGAAATGTTACAATGCTAATCCTTGCTAATATCTGCGGTCTGATTATTTGCTAACTAACTGTCTTGCATTTTCTGTTTCTCTTAAAAGGAGTGTGCTTAATTCACTTATCCTCGCATCTACCTGCTGATGTCCTGCTTTTTGGCCTTGTTTGAGCTTAAAAAGAGAATGAAATATTTACTTCTGTATTTTTCCTTTACCTGCAGGGGAGAACTTTGAACAGACTCCGTTAAGACGCACATTTAAATCCAAAGTTCTTGCTCGCTATCCTGAGAATGTTGAATGGAACCCTTTTGACCAGGATGCAGTGGGAATGGTCAGTATCGCTTTATGGCTTTTGTTTTTAAGACAAAAACCTACCGACCTTAAAAATTGAAGGCATTCATCTGTGTTTTATTTGACAAAAAAAGTGTCAAGTCTTTTGTAGATTAGAAGTAATCATTAATTTCTCTAAATTGTGCAGGCTCAAAAGGCCTTTTCATTTAATTGGGATATTTTTTTAAAGGAAATTAAGTTAAAACATATAAGTGGTAAGTCCCTAGGAGAGTTTTTTGTCCTTTTACAACTGTTTTGTTACATTCTGGAGAATTGGTAGAGAAATAAATTAGACTGCAGTAGATGAATCTTCTTTGTGCATGATTTTTCTATTTAATGGGATATGGTGTGGTTTCTTAACTTGGATAAAATATAGTACTTTTCTCTGTCAGGTTTCTGGTCTTAGGGACCAAAATACTTTCCTTTATCTGAGTTTGAATTCTGTTACTTTATTCCTGTTGAGGTTGGTAGCGAAATAGTTATGAGTTTCAATAGAAACTGCATAAAGGCCTTTAATATGTTCCTTTAGTTTTTCTGATTTAGATGCATATTACTGTATTGTACAGAGATGTAACACTTAATAGAATTTAAAGTGAAATGCGATGGCATTCTGTGGATTCTAAATCCTATTTTCACCAATGCTTCTGGAGGCAGGGGGAGAGAAAAGTGTGTTTTAATGGATATTATCTCCCCTCCCCCTTTTTTATAGCTGTGTATGCCTAAAGGGCTTGCTTTCAAGACACAAGCAGATTCCAGAGAACCTCAGTTCCACTCTTTTATTATTACTCGTGAAGATGGCTCACGGACATTTGGATTTTCTCTCACGTTTTTTGAGGAAGTTACTAGCAAACAGATCTGCAGTGCGATGCAGACATTGTATCATATGCACAATGCTGAATATGACATTCTTCATACTCCACCCACAAATGACAAAGATAGCTGCAGCAGCACTGGAGACTGCAATGGCACTTCTGTTTCAAAGCTACAGCGTTTTAACTCCTATGACATCAGCAGAGACACACTCTATGTCTCAAAGTGCATTTGTCTGATTACTCCAATGTCTTTCATGAAAGCTTGTAAGAAAGTTCTAGAACAACTTCACCAAGCAGTGACTTCACCTCAGCCGCCACCTCTACCTTTAGAAAGCTACATCTACAATATTCTCTATGAGGTTCCTCTTCCCCCAGCAGGAAGGTCATTAAAATTTTCAGGTGTTTATGGACCAATTATCTGCCAGAGGCCAAGCACCAGTGAACTACCATTATTTGATTTTCCAGTTAAAGAAGTTTTTGAATTGCTTGGAGTAGAAAATGTGGTTCAACTCTTTACCTGTGCCCTCTTGGAATTTCAGATACTGCTTTATTCACAGCGTGAGTACTTGGTTTTTGTTTTCTTATCTTGTTGTACTGGCACAAGGTCTTTTCGTTTCTTGAATTTAAAAAAACAACAACACAAACAACAGAATAGCTGCATTAAAGTGGCATTAGCATGCTAATGCAGTCAGGCTGATCTGTGTGCAGGTTTTAATGTAAAGAAAAGAACTGGAGTTGTAAAGAGAGCCGTTGCATTGGCTCCTGTTTTTAGACACCTAAACTTAAAACTTTGGGTTGTCACATAATCTCTCGTATTAATGGACTGACTGTCCCCTTTATTGTTGTCTCTGGAAACATTGTGCTGTTGGATAGAGTAGTATGCCTTCTCCCGTGTTCTTCTACAGCTGCTTAGCTGAATTCCCCCCTACCTCTGCCAAACTATCCATGCATTTTGAGGAGATACTTTGTTAATTGTATATGGTTCTGAAGAAGAATTAATGATGCAAATACTGTTTTCTCTTTGAGTACCCAAAGTCACATTTCAGTTGTTACTTTGAAATAAAATTACCTGAAAAAAATTTATTTGACTGAATTTAAATCCCAGATCTCTCTTAAGGCCTTGAAACAGTTATTGCTGAAGTCACATAAATAAAGCTTGCTTTGAAAAGAATAGGCAGCAGCTCAGCTGAAATAGCATCTGTTTATCAATTAATAAGTAATGTGGTAGTGGTATCCATTTTCTGCACTGAAGTTTGTGAATACCGGGCTTCTTACTCTGCATCCTGTTACTCTAACACAGAGTATGTGGAGTTATGCCAAAAGATAATTTTTCTACTTTTTTTTTTTTTTTTGTCTCAAGCTGGCTAATATTAGTCCAGACCCACCCATCCATAATGGTGTGCTTTAAAGTAGACAGACTGCATTTTGAACACTGTTTTATAGTAATGGTAAAGAAGCCTAGAAGACCACAAGAAAAATGCAGGGATAGTCCATGGTGTTACCAAAATCTGGTTTTGGTATTTTCTTTCATTGAGCTGTCACTGAAATATGTAGAATACAAATGGTAAGTATTTATAAAAATATAACCTGCAGTTATTAGCAGCATTCTTTCATTAGCATGAAATACAGACGTTTTGTGTGTTGAGATGTGTGCATAGACTAAGGCCAAAGATGGATTTTGTGTGTATTGTCAAGGTGATTAAAAGTGTGTAATGGCAGCAGGGTATTACATTGCAGCTGTTGCATTGTATAGACACTGCTAACTACCAGAGAAAAACTATACAGTAATTCAAACACAGTCAAAAAACCTTACTGTACTCAATAGTGGTTACTCTCTTGGATTTAAAAAACAAATTGCTTTTCTTTTTATTCATAGAAAATGTAGAAATACTTGCCTAGCAGACAAACTTCTTTTGTGGTTTCTCCAGAAATGGATTAGGCATTTATATGTTTGAGATGTAGGGACAGTTTGTTTATGTGGGTATCTGTGTCCCACCACTGGAAGATTGAAACACCAACTCTTCCATCTGACGAAGAACGCAGTTCAGTTGGCCTGTAGTTGTGCTTGAGAACTCCTGTGGCAGAAGAGCATGTGCCTGGCTGGTTGGAAGCACCGCAAGAAAAGCAATGCGTGCATTGCCGTATTGGAACAGTGTTCCCTGATCTCTTCTGAGGCCATCGCGTTTTAAGTACTCTTTTCTCCTGGGCTGGAACTCAGCTCGCTTCTGGACTAGTCTTCTGTATTCTGGCTTCTCTTTCCAACTCATATTAATAGGTTCAACTTTTTTTCTTGGACACTTCCCAACTTCCCAAGTGTCTGATCAGTGGCTAATTGAAGAAGCTTAAAATAGCTCTGGAACACTCGAGTTTCTTGTCTGCACACACAGACTCGGGGAATTCAGAGGGATCCATGCAGCTGGAGGCCTGTGGGCCTGGCTCTTTAGGACAGTTTCTGTCCACTATTTCCCTGCCTTGCCCCAAGCTTTGGCTGAGTTGGGCTGTGTTGCACCTTGTGGACGTGCCTTGTCTCTCTCTATCAAGTTCTCACCTATGGTTTCTGGCTGAAAAGTCATCTTCTATTGGAAGAAGAATGTTAGTTACTTGGTTGCTGACTTTTGGCCCTCAGTTTTGGCAATCTAGCTGTGACAGTGCCTCCTCAGTAACAGTGGCCATAGTTTTTTGAAATGTAGCTTCTCTTAAGTACTTTCTGAGGGGTCTAATCACTGAATTTTTTTTTTTTTAACCTGCTGGTTTTTTCTTAAAAAAAACCTTTGGTGCAGTTTGCTAACACTCCGAATACTTTCGAAGCTCCTAGTGAGTTAATAACAGAAGTTTACTGCATACTGCTGGTGTTGCCAACAGCCAAGCTGAAGACTTCTAAAATGCTTTTGAAACACATGTACTTTATTTTCGTATTACTTGAAATGGGAGCGTGAAGTATTTTGAAATTCTAGAAAGTCAGCTTTTGCTTCCTGTAATTTCTGTTTTTTGTCTTTTCTAATGATGGTAGTCTGTTTTCTTCTACATGGCAGTAAATTAGAAAACTGTTTTAGTAAATCAATTGCTTGCTTCACTTAGAAGGATATCAGTAGGAAACTGGAACTTCTGACTGAGGTTCTGATTGTCTATACCTTTACTTAATGGTTCTTTTTTAATTCTGCTCTTTCTTCAGTATGGTTGACTAACATCTGTTTTTTGCTGTTTGTAAAGCAGGGAATGTTGAGTGGAGATAGAGATGATGGTGCATTCAGTTCTAAGTGGAATCAGAAATTGCTTGAACTTTTGTAAGGCCTTGCTCATGTTCTTGCATGTGCAGTAGTGTGAGGTCTACGTTGTCCTTCAGAATATAAATCTTAATATTTTTTTTTAATGTCCTTTGGTTTTGTTAAATCTCTTGGTGCTCAAACCTGTGACAATTGAGGTGGTTGGGATAATTTCTCATTCTTCTAGGTGAGATGAGATTGCAATACTCATTGGGTGGATTTAGATTTAGAACAGTACATGTCAGAACCAGAGGGTTTGCTTGTAAGATTTACTTTTCTTAAAAAACAAACAAACAAAAAAAACCCAAACCCCAAAATGAAACCCCAAAACTCTTGGAGGACTTTGCTGCCAGATGCAATCCTTTTTGAAACAAATTATTTAGCATCTTAAGTTGCAGTCAGTCCTTGGAATAGGAGTAACTTGGCAGTGAACATGTTTTGCTTTAAGATTCCTTTGACATGTTTCTGACTTTATGCTTCTGGAAATTCTTCTTTTGTCCCACTATATTGGCACAGCCTATATGTTTTGGATCAGTGTAAGCCAAAAGTAGGGAATGAATACCTTGATTTGATTGTCTTCTTGAGAGGGTTGTCTCCCATTTGGAAAAGTGTCAGAGGAATGCAGGTGCCTATAGACAGTGAAGAATCTGAAGCTGCTCCTAGTGCTGAGCCAGTGCCGAGGAATGCTGGCAAAGAGGCAGTGAATGCTGGAGGCTGCCAGTAGTGCCCTCACCAGATTACTCTGTGGGACCTGGTTTGCATTCCTGCAATTTGTGTTGCTCTTGTATCTGTGAAATGGACTTATTCCTTATCTCTGTAGAGCACCTAGAGCTCTTCTGAAAAGTGTGCACTGAGTTAAGACAGCTGTGAAATCTGCTTGGAGGTGATTTTCTGGACAGCTAAAAACAATAAAAGGAGAAATGTAGTCCACCACTGCCACAGACTATGATCTTGAACAGGTTTTGTTTTCTGCATGTTTGCTGTCCGCTGTGATTTTTAAGTACAAATAAAGGGGTTTGTTTTTCTGCTTTGCTTTGCTTTTGAATTACTCCTCCCCATCTTTGTTTTACTTGCTTAAAATTATGTTCACTCTGGAGACTTAAAGTATTAGTTTTATTTCTTTGCACTATTAGTCTCGTGTTGCCCAACTGTAATCTCTTACCCAAGACATTTTCTTCTTATGCCTCCAATGATTTAGGAAACTTAGTGCTTGGTGCAGGCATCTTTAATCAGCCTGCCAGACACAAAAGTGAACACAAATAGGAAGTACTTTGACCCACTGCTTCTACTAACCACCGTTCTTTCTTACTGCAGTTACAGGTTTTTTGAAGTAAAAGGCCCAATTTAAAGAAACGTATGTTTTCTGTAAGGAGTCTGACATACTGAATACCTGTGCTCAGAAAAATTTGTTGAAGAATGTTTCTTTTACACCATGCTTTCTACTATGAACAGACATGCCTAAAGCAAACTGTCCAGGCAAGGCTTTATTATGGTGGCTCAACTGCATTGCATGCTACCTATCCATAGGGACTGTGTATATAATTTTTTCCCCTTCTGTTCCCCTTCAGGTTAAAGAGAAGCTTAATCTTGGCAAGTAACCCATCTTTCTGGTTTATCCTTATACGGTCTGAAGTTATGCAAACTTGTCTGTGGTAATGGTCACCACTGTAGGGGCAACGCTGTGCCTTTAAAGCAGCAATATGGGAGTTGCATGCGGAATGGAAATTACTTGACAAATACAACAGTATTTCATTGTGATTCATGAAGTAGGAAGATTAGAAGGAAAACATATTCCAGAATATGATCGTGTAATGGTTTTAAATTTGGCCAAGTCAGAGAATTTCTGTAGGCACTTGAAAGACCTCTCTGGTAGAATGTGAGAATGGAGGGGTGGAATCATGGTTATTATGGCTGCCACCTTTTTCCCATCCTGCTCCTCTCTTTCCAGACCCAAGACCCCTCAATTCTGCTTTTCCCTGGATTTACTTGCTTTTTACAGATAAATACAAATGTCTAGGTATACTAGATATAGATAAATACTAGTGTAAATAACTTCTCATACACGCTTTAATGTATTTTACCTACAGTAATTGGTTAGGAGAACAAATCAGCCTTTTTCTGTGTTCTTAAGTGGCCATGTTAAAAAGTAGTGGATTTTCTTTTCCTTGCACAGTGATCATTTAAGTACTTTCCAAACTAATAGCGCACTAGTGGTATGTCATTTTTTCCCTACTAATGCTGTTGTACAATGCAAGGCCAAAAGACTCTGTGTCATTTGCACCAGAATAAGCATATTACGGTTTCAAAAACAAGAGCAAGACCACTACTGAAACGCTTCTTCCCTCTTTTAAATTTTTTGTTGTTGTTATTTTTAAATCTTACATAATGCTTAGGTACTACAAGTGTGCTGCTTGCTTCTGTTTTAAAACCAAAAAACCTCCATACCCTCTCAGGATAGGTATAAATTAAGAAAACATTTAAGTTATTTTGGTTTATGTTTGCAGGCTTCTTGCCTTTGTCCTTGCCTTTTGCTAATGCTCCTGATGAGCATAAAGTCTACAGAATGTAGTCATTGTTACTTGCAGGCTGTGACCGTGCAGGCCAAATAGCTGGGAATGGCTTAAGCTATGTGGATATCCAGGGTCAAGACAGCTATATTTGCAGATAACTACGCTGCAGGATGTAGCTGCTGAGTGGGTAGAAATTCTGAATTATTGATGTTACTTTGTAATTAAATTGAAAGGCTAATACTAAAGTTAGCTTAATGATGGAGGGCGAAGTTGTATTTAAATTAGCCAGCAAGATAAGACAGGGAGGTTTTGTGTAGTAAGAAAACACTGTTTCTATTCTGAGACTTGTTCTTTCAAATAAACAAGCTGAATATGAACCAGCTGGAATGTTTGTATATCTATGGCTACATTTAAAGTTTCTTTTAAAGCTGAAGAAAATAGGGTATGGAATGGATTCTTCTTCTTCCCAAAGCTTATCATTAATTCATCACTTCTTTGCAGTCAGGCTGTGATTAAAGCTGCAAACTAGTAAGTCATTGTGTAGGCAGAAACTGGTGTCCAGGCAGAATAGGGGAGTGCTGCTGGTGATGTTCAGTGATTGTTCTTTAGTGTGTTTCAGTCCAAGTAAGCTTTTGGCAAAAACTTTAAACTGTTTAAGCTATTCTTGCTTGTTTTGATTGAAGGCTCCTTCAGTCACAGTCATCTACTGTGAGGCAGTGACAAGTAGCTCTGTGCAGTAACCTCTTCTCCCAGCAGAGCTTGATCTGAAAAGAAAAATCAGAAGCCTAGATTGCAGAATTATGACTGATATTAGCAAAACCTGTGTGGAATTCCTCTTGGGTTGTGGGACTCTTTGCAGACCCCAAACTCTGCAACTTTGTCTTCAAACAAAATTGATCATGAATGCCAGGAACTGAATTTCTTCTGTTATCTGAAGTCTGAGTGGAGGATGGCTAACAGATAGAATTAAAGCCATAACCTTAGAAAGTGCCCAGTTAAGCTTAATTTTTCTCTAGAGCATTTGTTTAGAACAGATGTTATTATTGCAGTTTTCATCTGCACTCCGCAACAGCGTGCAACAGCATGCAACAGCTTCAGAAACCTCAACACCTGAACCTGTGCATTCAAGTGTCTTTTCCAATTTCATAGTATCTGTACTTTTATGAACATGTTAGGAGAAGACATGCATACCCCTCACCCCAACACATGTACAAATGATAATGTTTTGGTTTTTTTTTTTTCCCTTCCTCTTATTCCCCCCCTTTCCTGGCTGGAATTGGATATTGTTGCAGTAACATGAAAAAGGCATCCTATGTTTCCAGTTTATACTATATTTATAGCTTGACTGAAGGTAGGAATTGTCTTAGTCTTGTGACCTTGCTTTTTGCAGTCTGGCAGCTCAAAAGCAATCTGAATGTTTTAGCAGTTGTACTAGACCAAACACTCTGAGTTCATTTGGTGTTGCCTCCTCCTTTACAGTGCATAGATACCAAAAACCATTAAAGATGATTCTGCAGTATAAAAGAGGAGGGCGAGATGTTGGCCCAGCATACTGCAATGTTAAGTACTCTAGCCACCAGCTGCTGAACAAAAAGATCTTTTGGTATGCATGTTGCACAGGTGCATTTAGTACTGCTGTTAAATTCTAGGCGAGATGAGTTGTTTTTACATTGAACTGAGACTTTGGTCGTACATGGCAAAGGATAAACGAAGCTGATGGTTTTTATTTTCTACACAGTTATTTCAGTCACACTGTTGGGTTGGCTACTATACAGCATGCTTTATAGACATTTAAACACTTTTTAAAAAATGTTTATCTGAGAGATACCAGATGCCTTGGGTTTCATCCAAGGCTTCCATAGAAAGCCATAAGCGCAGAGAAGAGAAATTATTTCCGATGTGTTTTTTAGCCATTACAATACTGCTTCCATACTCAAACTGGTGTTCCTGGTAACCCTGGTATAGATAGCAGAAGGTGACTTAATGGATGCTAAGACTCAATTTGCTCATTTCCATATGACTTGTAGAATGACCTACTTTGCGTTGAGCTCTCTTTGTTGTTTCAGCAAAATGTGCTTGGGCGTACAAGTCTGGGCTTTCATTAAGATGCCGCTCAGCTAGTACTGGGGTTTGTGGTTTCTGTTTTAGAGCAAGCTCACATTTCTTTAAGTTAATTTCATTTACTTAAGAATGTTTTTGAAAGAAATTTTTTTTCCCTTGATCTTTTTCAGATTATCAGAGACTGATGACTGTGGCAGAGACCATCACAGCACTAATGTTTCCATTTCAGTGGCAGCATGTGTATGTTCCTATCCTTCCAGCATCCCTCCTTCATTTTCTAGATGCTCCTGTCCCTTACCTCATGGGCTTGCACTCTAATGGGCTGGATGACAGGTCTAAGCTGGAACTTCCTCAAGAGGTGAGAGGAGCTCGTCTCGATTCATTAAATATTGTACCTGACTATGAGTGAACTGAGAAATGAGCCAAAACACTAGTGCTAACTGTAACAGCCGTTGTGAAGTTCTTGCTGGCTCTGGTTTGGGATAGCTCTTATTTTATTTTTTGGAGATGCTGGTGAAAACCTGGTGAAATAGATAAATAAGCCCCTGTTTTGGAAATTGTATGCTCTGAAAAAATTAAACTGTAATTTTACAGGTATTGTTGCAGTGGGATTACAGAAAGAACATTTTTGTGCGGCAAAACTTAGCCCTGTAGTGCTAGGAAATGCAAGAAAGTGCAGTGTGAATTCACCAGCTGTAGCCAAAAGGCCATAGAGCTGCTTCTGTGTGGTGCTGAGTGAGCAAAGCGTGACTGGCTTCAGCGCTGCGCTGGTTCCTGGCTGCACGGGATTAGGCTGGGTTTCCTTGCACTGCAGTTCTGGGTTGGGGTTGGCTAACATGGACCCAGCCCGTCAGGTGTCTGCACCAAAACTATTTTGAATTTTCTTGTAGCATGCATACTTCAGTCTGCAGCAGAATGTCAGCATATACTTGAGCAAACTGGTGCTAATTGAGATAGTGCTCAGGAAGTCCTCCCTTGTAGTGATGCTCTGTTAACACCAGCCACTGTATAAAGGAGGAGCGAGCGGTCTGTAAAGGTTCTGCAGCTCATACAAGGGGCTAGGACTATGTTCAAACTGCTTAGAGGTTGTTTTTATTTGTTTCATCCCACTGTTCGCTTCACAAATATTCTTTTTAGGGACACGCCAAGAGAGAGTTTAAGAGCTGGTTGTGAGGATCAAGGGACCCAGAGTGGTTGAGCACTACCTGAGGTAGCAAAGGAAACGTCTGCAGGAGCCAGTGACCACCCGTGGGAAGTGTGTGAGGTGGCTGGCGTCTGGCTGGCTCCGGAGGCAGTTCCATCAGTCATCTGAGTGACTTCCCTCCTTGAGCACCATCGAATGGTTTATTTGCTCGTCTGTGTAGAAAATGCTGAGTGTTACAGTATGGTCTGGCTGGCTGTTGTCAAGAAGCTGGACACCTCTGTCAGGTAGCCCTGTGGGAAGCAAGCGCTTGCAGAGTTACTAGCTGCAGAACACAGCTCTGGCCCCTGCTAGCCTGCTTACTTGTAGGTGTAACTTTGTGGGGGAGGGACTGGGTAAACCATGGGAAACACCCTACTTACAGGCACTGGTAGGATTCTCTCTCTCTGCCGTTTTCTCCAGTTGTCTGTTTTCTTCTATTATCATTTACATTACTGGGAAAGCAGAAGTGTGGCAGGCAGAGGGTTTTGTGGTGGTGGTTTTTATTTTCATTATCAGGCAGTGCTGCAACATAGCTTGATGCAGAAAAACTTCTTTAAAAAGCTGCGTGAAATTAAAGACAAGATATTTTTGTGAACCTCCAGTCTGGTCACCATGCCAACATTGCTCTTTTTCTCAAATCCATATGTTGATAGTTTTCATTTGTTTTTCCTGGCAAGTTCAAAGGAAAATTTCTCTTCAAACTATGTTATTTTTTCTATGAAAAGTAAAGTATTTAATCTCTTGATTTCTTTCTTTTCTCCTTCTCCTTTTTTTTTTCTTTCCCCCCCACTGGCATAATTAATAACAGAGTAGTCTATGTTCTTGCCATGAAAACAGTCTATTGCTTTGGTTTACTACATTTTTACAAAATTCTGGATGTACTGGCAGGCCTAATTAATATGGTTAGTATACTTTTTAGAAAGAATAGCTGGTGAAGTAAAATGCCTGTGTGGGTATGCATGTTAATATGCACCATGGATGTTTTCACTAATATAACAAGCTTCTAAAAGACTGTCCTCCTTTTGTTAAAAAAAAAAAAAAAATAAAAAAAATCCTCATTTTAAAATCACTGTAATACTTCCAACTAAATAACATATTTTAATTTCAAATAGGTATTTCAATTATTTAAAAGATAAATGGTTTTGAGGAGCTTTATCAGCTTACTTTGGAGGTTTAAAGTAAGGTAGTTGACCTATTTTTAGATGTTAAAAATGAAATCGAAGTAGTATTAAAAAAAAAAATCTGGCACCTCAATTTACATTTTGTTTATGAAGGTGGAGGAGTAGATTTTTGGTAGTATCTTACAGAGAACAGAATTGTCTGGGAGGGCAGGGAGGGGAAGACACACAGGACATATCAGGAGCAATGTGCCCATGTGATGGAATTTGCTGCAGGACTTAAACTTGCCCTTTTGAAGCTTCAGCTTTTCTCTTTCTTATTCGACAAGTGAGCTCTTAAAGCTTTGTGCACGATGAGTATGAGTTAGTCTGAGAATTCCCCTTGGTAGTCACTGCTGAGTAAGGTTTCCTGTGAACTGTTAAGTCCTTAGCACTGCAGGCTGAGAACGTAGCTATGGCATAGAAATGGGCTTGAACATGTGCTGGAGACTTCAAAGATGACTAAGAAGTTATCATATACCAATAGATTTCCTTATCTGAGAGGCAAAGTAGACCAGGAAGAACAGGAGCTCACTATTGTTGAGACTTTCATTGTAGAGGGTTTACTTTCAAAAAAACAACAAAAACCCCACACCCACACACACCCCAACCCCCCAAACCCTGCTGTTGCAACAAGAAGTAAGTGGACCATTTTAAAATGTAAAGCAGAATTCAAAGTGCGTGCTGGTCTCACTAAGTGAAACTATTGGTCAGTGTCAGTATTTCTGATGTTAATAATTTAATCAGTCAGCTTTAATATATTTAGAAGTGAAGATTACAGGTTCATCTCAAAATTACTTTGCTTTATGATTAGGTTTTCAGATACCCTTCACTTAAAGAGCGAAAGAAGCTCTACGCTAATTCCTGACATAGAAACTGACAAGGAACATGCATAAAATGTGGTGGTGTAGAATAGAAGAAAGGGAGCATATGGATTCTATTATTTGTACTTCAGTAAAGACAAATTTATCATCAGTAACAAAAGGGATATTAATATTTAACATTCCTTATCTCTCAAGTTTGGACTGTGTATGATCCTTTATGAAATTATCAGGGTTATATGAGGAACTTAATTTCCAAATCCCGCCTCCGGGCTCCTGATTCATAGATGTGGTAAGTATCAGAGTTTTCCTTGCTTATTGCAAAGGGAATATAGAGAGCTGTTCTATGTTCTAATTTATTCTGAGTTCTGAAAAAAAAAATATTTTTTTTTTTTGCCTTTGTCTTGAAACTGCAGAAACTACATCTCTGTTGCTAATCTGTTTACATGGATGCATGGGACAGCTGCTGTTGAAGAAAGAAGTATCTAATTTAGACAAGGGCTGAAGAAGTGAGCTTTGACAGAAGATCTAGTTAGTGCTTCTCAGTTGAAGGGCATTGTGGAAGAATATAATACTCCTATCTAGCATAGCATGGATGCCTCAGTGTCACTGTAGACTTCTTGACTGTGGTTTTATAATGAAGTTTTAAAAAGACTTAATTTGTCTCGCTCAAAGTGTTTTAGGCTAATATATGTGAAAATACTATCTGTCCTAACTCGGTCAGGTTTGGTTTAAGTCTTGCACACATATGCCATAAGACTCGTTTTGGTTTGCTTGTGGCGGCGGTCTCCCATATTTTGGTCACATCTGGTGCTTTAAGGGAATGCTTTACCATGGGAGCATGGAAACTCAGCTGTACCCTAGAATTTGATGCGTTGTCAGATGATGATTAAAATTTTCAGCAAAATAACCGCGTTAGTACAAAATTCAAGTTTAGACTATCCCTTGGGTACATCAGAAAACGGTGCCTGATGGAGAACTCAAATGAGTTCACTGATGACTTGAAGACGTGACTGTGGCCCAGTAAAATTGTAGAAAAGACTTGAGGCTTACTGTAGGATTGAGTTTCTTGTACATGTCAGTGATAGCGCACTTAAGGTTAAGCTTGTTCTTATACATATTGCCACTTTGCTGAGGGCTCTTTCTGTATGCATGAGCATCCTTGTGGTTTCACTGATAGCTGCATCAGAGGCTTGTAAGGAACGCAGAAGAGAAACGTGGGGGGCATGGGAGAAGTCGTGCTAGAAGAAGGTGCTGCAGAAATCAAAGGGGAAGGAAAGAACATGTAGCTGTTTCAGATGTTGCTGGCAAAAGTGTGGTTTGTTTATCGGTAGAATTGATCAAAAAAGTGGTTAAACTAGCTTTCTTGCAGATCGTAAACCTAGCAAGTACTAAAGAAAGATTGTTTTTTGATGTGTCTTTGAATTTCCTTTTAAAGAAACTTTTGCAGTGCTATAGCAATGTATTTTTAACAAGCAAGTTAATCTGAGCCATTTTGTGCTACTGGATTTGCATGTGCATCTCACCACTCTGTAATGCACGAGAATGGTGGAAATTGAAATTATTTTGACTGAAAATAAGCAACACTGAGTCTCCCAGCACTGGATAAATCAAACAAAAGCAGTATCTCATTAAAAAAGCTTGGGTTTTAGTGAAGTGATCCCAAGGGTCTTGGGCAATAGCTTTTTTCTTTTAGAAAAGTTGAAAGATTTTAAGATAAAATCCAGTTCTCTGCTAATATAAGACAGATATCTATTCTCAGTATTTTTATTTAAACCATTAAAAAGATGTTATTCAATGGTAAATCCTAACAAATTCTGTGGGGTTTTATTTTTGTATGTTGTTTCAGAAGGTAAGAAAGATCTCTTGAAAAGCCTTTTTTCCTCTTGATGCCAACACATTTAGACCAAACTGTCCAAGATAATTATTTTGAAAGACAATCACTGCTTTGTATGCATTCTCAGGCTATCTGCTGGTGAGATAGATCCTTGATAATACTGCAAATTTATTGACAGACTTCAGTTTCATGTTTTCCTGTACTTCAGTGTTAAGCAGCCACTTGAGGAGTTAAATTCATGTTTCTGAAAGCTGCAGCTGTAAGTTGTTCTCAGTCACAAATTCTGGGTTGGCATGAAGAACAGTAGTGCTGAGAATAAATGCAAAAGGTCACTGTTTGCTTATAAGAATGGCATAGGAGCATCCTTTAGAATTTAGGATCACTATAAACACACTTTCCGCAAGCCAGCTGTGTGTGTATAAATTTGCATATCCATGTTTTCTGTGTGTTAAGTGGGTGGTTATTTGCATGGTTGGGACCTAATGCATAAAGGTGATACATGCTGTAGATGAATGGGTTTTAGTTTTGCAATGCTGTATTCAAGCAGAAGCCTTAACTCAGAACTATGTTTCAATCTGACTATCTAGGAGGGGGTGTGAAAACCTGTATGTGACCTATACTTTGAGCACCTGGGCTGCGTAGGGAATTACGTAGTGGTGATTGTGCTATCGGAACTGACTGTTCTAAGTTGCTGTAGGCATCTATTTGCATACCATGTAATTATATATTAATGCTTAAAGTAAAGAATATTTTCTCTTTAGGATGTTAGTGGGGTGGGGAGCTTACTCATTATTAGTGAATGGTGGTTCCTCCTTAGACATCCTTTTGGCAGAACCTAAATCATTTCCTTCTATATTTTTGAACAGAGCTGAAAGGAAGGATATGGGCTCGATGCAGGCCTTGCTAGATGTGTGGGGGTTTGGCCCTTATTGTATTTGAGGTCAAACTAAAGAATTGCAATTGTCCTCTGGCTTTGGAATTGATGGGTGTAGTCCAGACCCCACTGAGCCAATGGAAGGTTGCGCTGTTGATCTCAGGGGACCAGGCTTTGGCATCAGATACATGGACATTGACTTACTTGCATCCACATTTCTAAGGTTTGTAAGACTTTCACCTGGACACCTGTTTATGGGAAAGACAAGCTTTTAAATTAGGATGTGACACCCTTGATCCTTAGTGTAGTGTCTCAGGAAAACATTTTATTGTGTGATGATGTTATGTGTCCTCTCTTGTAACAATCTGCTATTAAAGTGGTGTGTAACTATTTGAGGTTTTCTTTTTGGTCAGAAAGCCGGTACCTCAGCAACAAATCAAAGAATATTTGACTGTTCTAGAGACCTGAAATATCGAGCGACTAACTTAAGGATGCTCTTTCAATTATGTCTCTACTTACACATGTTGCTAAGTATCTTGTCTTTATATCATTTTAATTTTGTGTGTGTAAAATGATGATCAATATATCAATAGAGGCTTACATACAGAGTTGTCAACTATTCACAGCTCACTCAACTGTCTGCCTCCAGAAACAAAAAACCTAAAACTCTGTGATCAAAGAACTCCTTTATTTTTCTACTTTGTGTACTTGCCCAGTTCCTAGCATGCAAAAAGCTTTGGATGGCCATGATTCCATAAATAAGTAAGTGCCATTTCATTTCTCTTGCTTTCTAAGGGAGGGGACCCCTCTATCCTTACTGGTATTCCGTTGTGTTGGATCTGTAGTGTAGCAGCATTGTGAGACTTACTGTTTTGGTGTCTGTTACTGGTGGTTTATTTACTTGGGATTTCATTTTTACAGAAAAATGTTGTTTTGATACCTCTTGAAGGGCTTGTGAAGTGAGGTGTCTTTGCCATTTCTGTTCCCTGGGGAACATGGCCTTTTCAGAAGTGCTTATGCAGTTCTTGAGGATGACCTTTAGTCTCCCTAAGTTAAAAGAGGCTAAAGCCATCTACTGAATCTCCTTTGCTTATGCTGCTGTAGGTAGTCCCCTATCTTATGGGTTATTATTAACCAGGCACTGAATAAGTGTAGTGTCCCCAAAAGTATTCTTTACACTCTTTAGAGTATTGCTGCACACTAACATATTTCTTTTTTTTAATGCTTCTATAGAGGGCAAATTCTGGGAAATGTTATAGTAAGTTGTGTGATAATCATCATTAGTGGCTTAGAGTGTTTAAACTATGTGTAATGGTCTTAAAGAGAAACTCTGCAAAAGGGATATTTAACTGTTAGAAGAATTAGCCAGGTGAGCCCAGATACTTATAAGTGATTTTAGCAAGCATTAGATTTGGCTTCATTGGCAAGGATTTTATTTTCAGTGTGAAGACTGGAATCTCTAGATTGGTAAGGTTAACGTTTGGTTACTTTTTGGCCAAGCACTTTTTAGGTACAACCAAGCTTAACCAAGAGTGATGTTTTCTGCAGAATCTGTGCTAAGGTAAAATAATCCAAAAAAGTAAAGTTGAATGGCATGCATTAAAGAGAGTTTTAAAAGGAAGTAATAGAATTAAACGGTTTGAAGAGTTTCTTAATGAGTCTGTCTTGCCATTTCGCAGACCATTTGTAACAAATTAAATGGTTTTTGTTTTTCCGTCAGCACCGATTGGTAGGCATTGTGCCTAGTTTCAAGGCTTTATTTCTCTCATGCCTTGAAGTGCTTACAGTGTTCCTGATAAATATTAGCTGACTTCACTTCTAATCATCACAGAACCATGTGTATAGTGGGGGTCTTGAAGTTCCTAAATTCAGGTGCTTACTTGAAACATGAGAGTTCTTATGTACATACTGTCCCTTTGTGCTGAATGTTTCTTTGAACGGGAAGCAGATGCACTCTGCGTGCATCCTAGCCTACCACTGGAGCTGCCTTGCTAGGAAGCCACATGCACCCCCTGCTCTGTTTGAGCAATGTTGGTACTGGGGAAATCTGAACAATGACACCTGCCCTATTTAAAAAATAAAAACTTTTTCTAGGGTGCACCAGAAGCTGTTTCAGAATCAAGATCTTAGTTCTATTTATTGACCTTGGATTGTTTTGCAACACCTAATTCAATTTGTGATGTAATTTACAGTAAAGGATCTACAAGAGCTACTAAACTGTTTTATATGCATTGCTTTAAGCGTAAGAAATCAATCCCAGTATTAAACTGGTAAAACATCAAGAAGTAGAGAACTGGAATTCTTCTACTTACCTTTTTAACTATGGGTAATATTGTAGCAGTATTGGACTTTTTCATGCAAAGTTCCATGCAAATCTAGTGTAATGTGTCCAGTGGAGTTCTGCTTCAAGAATTACAATGTTTTTTTTTTAAATTTTAGAGTTGAAGTTCAAGGAATCAAACACAACAGATATTTGTGTTTTAAGGAGGATTGACATCCTAACTCTGTTCTGTACAAATGCCAAGAGAGCCAAATCTGGCACAAGTATTAAATGTATGTTTTTACAACAGTTTACTTAAATGGAGGGGTCTTGTCAGGCACAGCTTATCTTAGTCTACCTATGATAAATCCCACAGCAAAATCCTACCGGAACTACTTTGTCCTTACTGATGCTTCAGTGCTTATGTACATTGCTCTGATTTCTGGGATCATCCAACATTCATACAGTGTGAGGTTAATCTTTTCCAATTCTTTCTTTCCTACTAAATTGTGAGAGTGCTTCCATTCTTCTGCACTTACTGAATCATAAAAAATAGCTGGAGGTCTGTTAGCTCTCATGACTTGATATGTATTTTTGCTGCAAAGCTATAGTGAGACCTGAGTTCAGGTGTGCCTCCTAGAATAATGCAATTAAACTAGGTTGAAAGTACCCCATAGTCTGGGTGAAGGGATTTTGTATAGGGTAGGCTAAACAGAAAAGTGACAGTCCATGTTAATTCTGCAGTGAAGAAAAACTGAAATGCTTTTACAGAAAAGCAAAGTTATTTTTCTGGATGCTTAACTTTCCAAGCAGATTTCACACATGAATGGGGTTCTTGCTGTGATGTATGTAATTATGTAATGTCGTGAAACCATTTGATTCAGATTTTGCAATGCAGAAGCCAAAAGGGGAAATCCCCCCCCCTCACCAAATATAGGGTGAGGTAAATTCTTGAAAGATGCATAACTGCTTTTGATGTTGCTGTGGAAGCCACACAGGTGTTTGGGTTTTTTTGTTTTGTTTTTTTTTCTTGGTCTTTTTTGGTGATAAATGAGGTAGAGATTGGAACAGGAAAACAGAACTGAAACTAGTTCAATTAATTTTTCCCCTTGGAAACAAACTTCTGAACTCATTCAAGAGTTGCCTTAGTTCTCAAGTTGCTTACAAAAAAAAGGAGAAGATAACTTTATTGCAGCTTCTGCAATATCAGTACACCTTTTAGAATGGAATTTGCCAAATCTCTTAGAGGAGTGGACTGATAATCTGAAAAACAGGCAGTCACCCACTTACGTATACATGTGTATAAAATAGTATTGCAAATATCCTGTAGTTAAAAATCTAGCTGTATGTGTATGAAAAACTTCACACATCTGTACCTAACATATGCTACAATCCCTTTTCTACCTACTAAACAACTTTAAAATGAGTTGTCTTTCTTGTTACCCCCTTGAAAGACCTGGAAATGTAGGCCTTGTGCTGCTTTCTTCAAAGCCAACCAACCAGTTCAGTTATGGTTGGGGCAAGTCTGTTTTACAAAATAACCGAACAAATGCAAATGTATTTGAATATTTCAATAAGCAGAAAACCCAAAGATGAATAAAACATGACCCTTGTGCTCAGTGATGTTGTAACAGTATCCTATTCTAAATTAAATCCCAGGCTAACCTGTGCTTTGTGGATGTAGACAACCATTTCATTGAGCTGCCAGAAGACTTGCCCCAGTTCCCAAATAAACTTGAGTTCATTCAGGAAATTTCGGAGATACTAATGGCTTTTGGAATTCCACCTGAGGGAAACCTTCACTGCAGTGAAAGTGCCTCCAAGATGAAGAGCCTCAGAGCATGTGACCTGGTTTCTGATAAAAGAAATGGGAACATAGCAGGATCACCTTTGAATTCCTATGAGCTGCTAAAGGAAAATGAGACAATTGCAAGACTCCAAGCACTTGTAAAAAGAACGGGTGTGAGTCTAGAAAAGGTAAGCTATGAAATTACCTGCACTCTCTCTGGACCTGCAGTAGCAGGTGGTCTGAAGTCAAGGTCCGAGGACTCTGTCTGTCTTCACTAGAAAGAACTTTATGTTAATGTGTTCACAAACCTTGTTAACATCTGTAGAGACAAGGGCAAACTTGGGGGAGAGAGGGAATAGGGTTTAACCCCACAGCATCTAGGGAAACCTTGGCTATCCTCCAGGTGTTTCTTTGCCAAGATAATGTGTTTAAAAATACACCTCGCCTTGTTTATTCTTGGTTTTAAGATTTATTCTAAATTTACAACATTTTCTTATGATTCACATGGCTAAAACTGACATCCAGATAATCCTGAAGTTAGAATCCAATCATGGTTTCTATAAGTGTCTGTCTTTCTCATTGTGTGTAGAATATGTATAATTTTTCTTGTATATAATACACTTGCCATAGGGATACTGTGATGCTTTTTTCTGGCTGATGTTGTAAAGTGCCTTAGTGTCCGATTCCCAGCAAGTGAATGTGCACAGTTTGTGGTGACTCTGGTTGGATTTTTTTTTTTGACAGTCAGAATTGGGAAAAGAAGTTGTGGCCCTTTTTGCATAAAAGTTATTATGTGAAAGACCACTGTAGGCTTTTTGAGCCTTTGTGGAATGGAGTGAATATTTTCTCAGCAAAGGTTTTATTTCTTGCATGTTTAAATTATCTTGACCAGTTCTTCATGGCTAAGTCTGATTCCTACCCATGTGACTGTAACTTGGGCTACAGGCGGTGCCAAACAGAGATAGAAATTGTGTGACCTCCAGTAGGTTGGGGAGGAGAACCGCTTTGTGGGGAGGAAGCTGCAGGGGGTTAAAAGAAGCAGCAGCTGGTTAGTAGACAGGATTAGATGCTGAAATCAGCTGTGTTCCTCTCTCAGGTTTTTCTTTTGTGTTGTGTTCTTCTTGTTCAGGGGAAAATTGGTAAGAAGCTTTTGTTCTTTTGCTTGAATGGATTGGGAAGCGATGGGAAGAGTACAGGTCTTTTTAATTTCTTGTAAGTTTTTGCACATTCAGGCCTTATCTACTCTGTACTCTCTTCCATAGTAGTTAAAGTCCCATTTTACTAGCCTTTTTGTGATGATAGGAGTGTATAGGTTATAACTGTCAAAATTTTCTCAAATATGTAAATGAAAACCTGCTTAGTGCGAAATACCCAATTAATGAGGAATGTATAGATGCCATGTGCTACTTATGAATGCAGTTAGAAATGGCTGAATAGCGGAGCTCTCTATCAGAGAGCATGGCTGTAGGATGCTATTTATGTCTGGCCTTGGACTGCTATAACCAAAGTGCTTTAAGAAGCATGGGACAGCTGCAGCAACTGCATCGTTGTGCAGATGTAAGCTCTAGATATTATGTCTAATTATGTGTGGTGGTGCCTCTTACAATAATTAACAAAGGCAGGGGTAGCAAATGTGTATTCAAACTAGTGCATGAATGCATGTGGCTTTGATTTTTTTCTAGATACTCAATTCCTATCAAAACTAATATGAATTTAATATCTGAATCTCATATTGCTGTCTTCATAAATCTTAGCCCACATGTTAACTGAAAATGCATTTTATTTCATTAAAGATTACTCTGGGCTGTGCAGTGATGAATTGTGCAATACGCTGCTAAGGACTTAGGTTACAGGAAACTAGCTACTAGACATGCACAGCTTCTTTTTACTGTGCATTTCTGTATTCATTTGAAAGCTGGTATGTATTAAACTGTAACAGTACTAAGCTTGGGCTTGTATTACACCAGAGACAAATATGTATTTGCCTAATATGCAGGGGTAGTAAAAACCCCTAAAAAGCCTATGCAGGTGATTAAAGGGTAAAAGAAAGTAAATTAAGTATATGGCATATGTGGGCATGTATATGGTTGTTATCTATCCTTTTTTAATCTAAAGCATATCCAGTGCAACCAGTACTAAAGGAGGTTATAGTTTATTATTGAAATTAGAACTTTTATAGACAAAGATTTCTTTCTAGATTTTTCTGATGTTGCTGTTTTATTACAGTGCCTGAAACTATAAGTAATTTTTTTTTATTGGAATGTTGACTTGAGAAGTAGCAGTTGAATGGCAGGTTAAGATCTTGTATACCTAGAATACCTGACAAAGCAACAATACAATTTTTTTTGTGTGTTCCCTTACTTTCTTAGTTGGAGGTGCGAGAGGAGACCAGTAGCAAAAAGGATCTTAAAATTCAGTGTGATGAAGAAGAATTCAAGATTTACCAGCTGAACATTCAAATCCGTGAAGTTTTTGCCAATCGCTTTACACAAATGTTTGCAGATTATGAAGTATTTGTCATTCAACCCAGTCAGGACAAGGAATCTTGGTTTACAAACAGGGAACAGATGCAAAACTTTGATAAAGTAAGTTGTGGTAGGAAGATATGTCAATGTAAAAAGTAAAACGGTATTCAAACCTAAGACTTTGTTTATTGGGCCATAAAATGGAAAACAGTACTGTCAAATTTGTAACTTCTTTCTTAAATTCCAGTGTTCCCCAAGAGAGTCACATCTTGTATATTTTGTGGAAAAATGTATACATATCCACACTTAGAGAGATAAAGATACTCTTTTAAGGATACTGTAGAAAGATACAGCCTGCTGGAGAAAAATATCTTAGAAAGCCTCACTTTATGGCTAACATCTACATTAAGATTAAATATTACTAGTGAAAATGATTTTTTTTTTTTTTTTTAACCAGAGGAGTTGCTGAATATGTTAATGAATAAAGCCATGACCCACATAACACTTGTGTACATGTGTACCAAATGTATTCCTAGCTCTTTTCTAGGGAAACACAAGACCCAGTTCTTAAAATTTTACTACTGTCTTCTTTATTGGAGACCGGATATTTGTCAGCAGGATAGTTCACGTGGGTGGAGATTATGTTGCAGCACTGCCTGCTAAAATGCTAATCTGATTCCCATCAAATCGTATGCAAAGGTTCTCATCAACTTCATAAGCTTTGAGCCCAGCCAGAAGTACATAATATCCACACCTGCGGTACTGTTGTTGTGGTTTCCTGGGATTCTGTTGAAATTTTTAGAAAATTAAGGAAATGGTAAAATCACAGTTTGATAATTATTGTGCTTTATAGTAGGTGATTGTCATGGAGCTGAAGATTTCATATAGACTGCCTGTTTCGGAGATAGAATTGGTGTGTGTAATAAAACTAGGCTTTAAGTGGCACCAAAGCACTCTAATACATCCTTGATTAGAAAAATTCGTGGGTTTGGTGGGTATATCTCTCTCTGCAGACTCCCAAATGGTCTTATCTCTTCTTCTCTGTTAGGCATCTTTCTTGTCGGACCAGCCTGAACCTTACTTGCCTTTCCTCTCGAGATTCCTGGAGACCCAAATGTTTGCATCTTTTATTGACAATAAGATTATGTGCCATGATGAAGATGATAAAGACCCTGTTTTGAGAGTATTTGATTCTAGAGTGGATAAAATTAGGCTGCTAAATGTTAGGACGCCGACTCTGCGCACATCTATGTATCAAAAGTGCACAACCATTGATGAGGCTGGTAAGAGTAATAAGCCACTTTATTGACACTTAAGAAAATACAACTAGTCAGTCCTGTTTGTTAGATACATTAGGTTAAAGTAAAGTAATGATTCATGCTTTGAAACCTCAAAAAATACAGATCAAAAAAGCTGAGGTGTAAAGCTTAAGTTGGGAACTAAATGTTATATAGGAAGCTGAAATGTGAGATGAAATTAATGTAAAATTTAATTGCGCTCAACTGTTTTCCTGCATGCTTTGTGTGAAAAATGTTTGAGCTTAAGAAGATAAACATTTTTCTCCTTTTGGTGGTAGTTTTTTGATGTTTAACACACTCTTGTACTAGTGTACCCGTTCGGGTCAATAAGAAACTTCCAACTCCTCTCCTAAATTTGAGATCTGCTTTTAGTTGAGGATGTGTGATTATAGATACATGTGTGATTAAGACACCTTAAAAAAAAAAAATTTAACTTTCTTACTATTTCAGAGAAATCTATTGAATTAAGGCTAGCAAAAATAGATCACACTGCAGTCCACCCACACTTGCTGGACATGAAAATTGGACAAGGGAAATATGAGCTTGGATTTTTTCCGAAGCTTCAGTCTGATGTTTTATCCACTGGACCAGTAAGCAACAAGTGAGTAAGCTAGGACAACAGGTGCTGGATCTTGGCAAGATCTATGGAATGGTACTAAAACACAGATACTAGAAGGCAAATTCAGTATCTTTTTTTTTTTTTTTTTTTTTTAGTTAGAACAGATCAGATTATGTGGGTGGGTTGTGTGTGGTGGGTTTTTTTAATGTCTCTTTCTTCGTTTGTTTTTTCTTTAAGTCCAGACTTCGAGAAGCAAATTACTTAAAGCCTTATTATGTTTGAGGTTATAGTTGATGTACTTTGAGTTACTTATAATTACTGTTGATATAAAAGCAGATGTCCTTATTGGATCTCAGTTAAGAGCTAGCAAATATTTTAGGATATCTTCTTATAAAAACTTTGAAGGAAGAGGAAAAAGGTGTAAATTGTAACTGGGTATCATAAAAGAATAGAAAAATACGAAGCAGGTGTATGTGATCTAGTTTTCTGAAATCCTTTGGTTGCCCAATGTTGGATTGCTCTGCAGAAATTCTTTGTGTTTATTTGCAGCTGGACTTTGTCTGATGCAATTGATGTCAAAATGTTCAATATACAATAAAATAGAAACTTACTTCCTCCCTTGCCACTGTCCTTCACCTATCTCTTGACATCTGCTTAATAATATTCCTCCATCTAGGTGGACAAAGAGAAATGCTCCTGCACAGTGGAGACGGAAGGACAGACAGAAGCAACACACAGAACACCTGCGTCTTGACAATGATCAGAGAGAGGTGAAAATTGTTGAACTATAGAGATCTGGGTTGTTTTTTTTTCCTAATTGTCTGACTAATGCTCTGTAACCTTTTAGAAATGTCTAGACAGTTACTTGCAGTCCATCTCTGCTCTCCCTTATGTGTATTTAATACAAATGAGGTTCTTGGTCCTTAGCAGACCAAAAATACTTAGTTTGCTTATTCTAAAATTTACGCCATTTTTACGCCCTCTCAGGACAAAATTATTTCATCCCATGTATAGGAGAGTTCTCTGAAAACATCAGCACACGCTTTAAAGGAAAAAAAAAAAGTGGGGGGCTAGGGGGAAGGGGGGAATTAATATTAACAGGTTTTAGCCATCTATCTCCTGTCTCTAAATAACTTGGTCACCCTGTGCTTCTTTTATATATTTGATGGAGGAAAGATAACTACCTCCAGAGAGTGATTAATTTAATCCTAAAATCAGAAACATTGCCTTCTGGAGTTGCCTGTTTTTCTTCTGTAGACCATAAAAGAAGTCTTAAGGTGGCAAATTGACACACAATCTCATTCTAAGGTGGGAATGTGAAGCCCACCCATGCTCTCAGGTATGTGTCTGTTTTTACACAGCACAGTCTGATGCTGATTTACGCGCCTTCTGAACTGATAACTTCTCTCACGAGTGCTTCTACAGCTGACACAGTTATTCTTTGTGGTGAAGGGATTTTGAAAGATCTAGGTGATGTGAACTAATTACAGTGCAGTTTCTGATTCATATGATACAGACTGCAAACTGCTACACCGGGTGTTGATTTATGGGTAATTCCAAGAATAATCTGGTTTAAAATATCAGCTTTTTTTTTTTTTTGTTTAGTAACCCCAAAGCTTTACTTTTGTTAATATGTATGTTGTTCATTGAAGACAATGTTCTCTTGGCTTGTTAAATATCTTCAGAAAAAACTTCATTTGGAATTTTAAAGTAGTCTCGTGTCTGTTAGGATAGTGTTGTCAAAATCCACTATCTTTGTCTGTCCAGTTCATTCTTTTATGGTAGTGATGAGTTTAATTGCCTTTCCAGTGTACTGATTTCCAGAATTTTCTCATTGGTTTGTTAAAATTTTGTTGAAGTGTAATGTCATCTATGTCATTCGTAGCCATGTAATAGAAGAATGTCTGCATATAAAAAAAACGAGGAGTAGCTTCTGGCTTTGACATGTCCCATATGCTCAGATAACTCTAAAGTACTTTTTACTTAGAAGCAACAGAAGTGAAGAATAGTTGATTTGTAACCTCATTATTGCTTTTAACAATTAAGATGTTTAGCACATGTAAACTTCTGGTAATTACAAAGGCAAAAATCTACCTCTAGTCTCTGGGGTTTTTTGTTTGTTTTGTTTTTTAACTGACTCTTCACAAGTTGATGATCCTATAGGAGTTACTCTGTCACATGAGGCAAATAATTTCTGAGGAATAAAAATTACAAATACATGCTCAGGTGAGGGTACCAACTGCTAGGTTAATCTCTGCTGGTGTTCCAGGGTTTTATGCTGTACTTTTTTGATTACATACTACTGACTGAACATTCACCCCCTCTCCCAGGTGAAGCAGAGACTTTCCTATTAAGTGTGAAAGAATGGGGAGGGAGCCCTTCTGACATGAACACTGGGGATCAGGCTGAGCAGGAGGCAGTGGTTTCAAAGTGCCATGTAGTGAGTTTTGGACATTGAAGCTTTGGGGCAGCCAACAAAAATCTGTGGAATTGAGACTTAGTGGCTTTTAACTTGCAAATATTTGTGCCCAGTGGAGGGCAGAGTTTACACCAATCCAGTGACTGAACACCATATTTTCTTTTTCTCATTTCAGATTCATTACTTATAAATTTATTTTTATGTTGAATGCTTGGGAGTTCTGCACTGTATTATGTCTTCACTCTTCTCCTTTTCTGTTTTGCATGCTTGCTTTTATTACTTCATATCCGCTTACCACTTTCACTTTACACGGTCTGCTTGGCTTTTTGCTACCAACTTGTCCTGCCAGCACCTGGACTTTTCCATGTCAGAGCTTCAGTTGCAGTTATGTTTAGACTGGGACCAGCATGATTGGCCCTTCATACCTTCTATAAAATCTGTGTCAGAGCGTTATCTGGTATGTCCAATGCACAATATGACTGTAATCATAGTTCTGGATAAAGATGCTTAATTAAATGTATATATCATGGCTCTGTAGTGCAAGGCTGATGGAGAAGATGTGTTTTTACCTCTTTGCGTATCGTATTTGACATATTTGTCTAGTCACTGACTTTTCAGTTGGTCATTATTTCAGTGTAAGCTAGAGAAGTTACCTATTAATCTTGAAATATGTACTAATCCTGAGTATTCTGTCAGTGCCTGTACAGGACTTTATCACTTATTCACAGTTAGCCATGCCCCAACCAATCTGTGATCACCTGGCTTTCAAAACATTTGTCATGTTATTCTTGTCTCTGAGGTGAAAACAATGGCAACTCCTTGATGGCAGAAAAGCTCTTTCAAGTATAGTGAGTTCAGGAAATGATTTTGCTCAAAAATGCAGATGGTTCACAGCTGAGAGCTGTTAGTAGCATTTTGCAGCTGCTTCCTGAAAGACTGGGAGGGTCAATAAGAAACAGAAGCTTTGCAGGAATGCAGGGCATAGCACAGATCTCGGATCTTGTCAAGTTCCAGGCAAAGTTTTCTTGCAGTACCCATGTAGACTAGTCTGCCATTTGAATAGTCTTGGTCTGGGTAATTATTACAAACTTTCATTTTATATGAAAGAATAACAAGGCAGTTCTTAGTGGTGGAGAGAGTAGTTGATTCTCTATGCATCTAAATACCCTTGGCAGTTGTATTATGTTTTTGTTATTCAACAGTGTGTGTTCTAATACTAGGTAGACAGCGTAAATGGGGATTTGACCTCCAGTGAAATAGTACCTTATGTGTCTCAGCCCAATATAGTACTGGACATAAAAAGGGGCCTTTTCTGAAAGAGGATGTGATCCCTTCCTCTTCATTGCACAGGGGTGGGTTATAAAGGAGAGATTACCCTTTTCTCTTGGCAAAGTACTCTCACTTGCACTTTTATCTGTATTTGTCCATTTTCTACCCCAATACAGAAGTATATCCAAGAAGCCAGGAATCTGGGCAGCACTATTCGGCAGCCCAAACTGTCTAACCTCTCTCCATCGGTAATTGCACAAACAAACTGGAAGTTTGTAGAAGGCTTGTTGAAGGAATGCCGAAATAAGGTAATACAAAGAATAATTCTGTTCTCTTGCACCTCATATCCATCCTTTATGGACCATTTTGTGGCCAATATGTTTGAACCCCACTCTTCTGCCATCTGTTTCTGCTTTATCCCTATAAAGATTTTTGCACGGTAGTGAGAAATTAATGAAGAGATAACGTATTTAGAAATTCTGCAAGGAGTGGAAACGTTATCAAGCAGATTTATGATAAAGAATGCAAAATGAAAGAAAGAGGTTGAATATTCTGATGGGTCTTTATCATCCCACAGCCCATGTCTATAATAGCATATTTCAGTTATTGCTAATGAGACTATACTATTTCAACAAGAGAGAATATTCCAAAAGAGGAGGTTGTGGTGAAATGCAGGAGCTTTTCTCATAACTAAAGGAAGTGGGTTAACAAACTTCTGAAACATTAAGTTTTCAAGCACTTAACAAAGAAATTTGGCATTAGTTTGTACACATGCTTCACCAGTATATATTTGACAGTATATTAATCTGAATTAAATGTTAATGTTTACACTAACACAGTAAAGAGAATAATTATCATATAGACACATTTCTTGCCTTAAGTCAGTGGAGGTAATATAGGAATTGTATACAACTTTTCATAAAACCGTGTTCAATATGTGCATCTACTTCTGATTTCACTTTAGTTTTCTGTATATATGAAACTGTCCAAATAATCCCCTTCACTTAATAGAGGCATATGACGGTGAAAATCCTTGAAGATAAACTTGGCTCTTTCTCTGTGGGAATGCAACTCCAGTGAATGTAGTGAGCCTGCTGTTAGCAGAGAGAGAAATTACCAGGGGAGGTGAGGAGGAGAAGAAGCTAGAGACTAGCTTGGAGTTCTTCATCTCAGCTAAGACTGTTCACAGGTGCCTAAGGGAGTATTACTCATTTGAGAGCTACTCTAGAATAGCAACAGAGATGAAAAATGTGTAAGAGATGAGCAGAAGTGATTCCCTAGTCATTTTTCCCTCCAGGCAGCTATATGACGAATACATTGTGACTGGGAGACTGTACTTTAAGAGTTGGTGAGAGCTTTGTTGACTGTTATGAAACTGCACACGACTTAGGAGAATGTGGCTCATCAGGAAGCTCAAGAGATGCACTCCAGAATGGGTTCGATTTAAACGTAGATACCCTTCTGACAGAACGGAGTCTCACGGGAATGACGTATTCCCTGCTCCTTGGAAGTGCTTGTGCACGTTCACCTCCTCTGGGAGGAGGTGGACATGGCATACTGCTCCCAGTCCAGCACTCGCTGGGCTTCAGAAACACCCAAGACCTACGTTGCAGGGCCTTGCTGCTAGGCCTCTAGTTTGTCAGTGTGGGGCCTGCTGTTCCCTTTGCTGGGGTTATTCTGTGGAAGCATATGTGCCCATTTGCAAGCCCCTTGTTAGAAAGACAGAAGAGGCTGTAAAGTGATCAACACTGGTGCTACCATGGCTTGAAAAACAGGGATAAAAGAAACGCAGTCCTGCACTAGCTTCAGAAATACTACATATGCCCGGTTATTCTGCCACATCTTTGCTATTATGTGCTTCCTTGTTGGTTGTTTAAAAAGTGTAAGGGATCTTGGAAGTTCCTGTGGAAAGAACTAACTCTCTTTTGCCTTGTCCTTTTTGAGACCAAGAGGATGTTGGTTGAAAAAATGGGTCGCGAAGCTGTGGAGCTAGGTCATGGTGAAGTGAATATCACCGGTGTAGAAGAGAATACCCTGATAGCCAGTCTGTGTGACCTCTTAGAAAGGATATGGAGCCATGGTCTGCAAGTCAAACAGGTGAGGAACAAACATTCCTGTATGTTGCAGAGCACACTTTCCTGAAGTCATGTTATGCTCTTCCTGTCTCCACTTCCAGAGGATACCTTTTGTGTGTATATAGATGTGTTAAAATACTTGTGTGTGTCCCCAGCCTTTTTTATGTCAGTTACTGCCCCCTTGTCTGTCTCCACTCTTTGCTCTGGGGTATGTGCAAGTGCACACGTAGATGTGTTCCACAGATGACTTCTTGGAAGACTTTCTTTCCATTTGACCTGGGGCTTTTTTGTTTGTTTGTTTCATTTGTGGGTTTTGGTGTTTTTGTAATAGGATGGTAAATAAAAATGTTTCTGTATTCTTAATACTTTCATTAATGAAATTGCATAGGCTGTAAGGCAGCATATGTTAAAGATGCTGTCAATGGGATATGGTATGGGGAATTTTTTTTCATGAAGGATAATTTAGTTTCTAAGAGTAAAACCCTTGCTATTTTGGTTCTTCCTGAATGTTGTAGGGATGGTTAAGTGACATTTACAAGATCACTAGTTAGAGGTGTTGTTTTTTGTATAAAATTAATAATTTTTTTTTTTTGTCATGCTCTTCTGTTTGGAGTCACTTGGGAGAGTAGATGGAGTTTGGAAGGCCTTTATCCTTTCCTCCTCCTTTGTACAAAGGAATAGCAAGGACAGTAAGGATTATAACTTTTTTTGTTAAAGACTGTGCAGAATAAATGTACATAATCCAGACAGCTGTAATTCAGTATCTCTGTTCCCAGCACCCAAGCGCAGGTGTTTAAATCTGCTCTCCTTCAAAATATATATCAGTTCTCTATGTGAAGATTTATCATGTGATTCTCTCCCTTCCCTCTTGTATATCACTTAGGATAGAAGCTGTACTGCTTTCGTCTTAGAAGACAGAGCATCAGTATACTGTGCTTCAACTCAGATTTGGGCCTTTCAGACCACCAGACGGCCAACCCTACATAAGGTTAATGCTTTGGATTGATTGCAGATGTTGGCAAACAGTGCTGAATGGTGGAATAAATAGAGTGGTTCAATGTAATAGAGGCCTGATGGAGAAAGTGCAGTGCATCTCATATTATGATCCACGGTTTTTAAAAACAAAACAAAAAAACCCACCACCAATTCTCTGATGTGCTGGCCTTTATTAAATATGCAAAAGCCTGCTGTTTCATACAACAATTTTATTTTATTTTTCAATAATAAGCCAAGGAAGACTCTTCTTCCTCAATTGGCCGTAGTAATGAGGATGGCTTTCCTTCCACCAATTCCTGCTTTTACCTTTTTCCCTGCTGATAAACGCTGATAGTCCTATATTAGCTACCTACAGATTCTTCCACACCTGGTGAATCCACACCTTCCTTTGCCCAGAGCAATGCAGGAGAGTTGTCGGATGTAGGGTCTGATGACTCAAGTAGTCTGAACTTTCAGGCGGTCTTGGTTATTCCCTTGCCTGTTCTCTGTCCCACTACTTTCCTTAGGCTATCTTCCTTTCCCTTATAGATACAGCTTGCATCATCATTGCTATTTGGTGAAGTTAAAGGAGAGTACCATGATGGTAAAGGAAGTGGGCAGATACATACTGCATGAGTTCTTACATTCATCGTGATTGTTGACATCTATTTGCTGCAGGATCCTTTGTTTGCCGCTTTATGTGATCTGTTGCAGTTCTTCCCACGGCAGCTAGTTGCTGAACACTAGACTGTGTGTGCATGTGTGTGTTTATTGAGAGAAATGCCATTTTGGATGTAACTGTTCCCTGGTTGATATTTTTCATGCTCTCTTTTTATGTTTTTGAGACTTGCAATATTGGCTTTCCATGATGGATCTGTCAGGTACACACATAAGGCATTGAGCTTCTCTGGATTTTTTTTTTTTATCTTCACCACTGAATGCGTATTTTTAATAGATTTTTCTCAACAGATTTTACAGATGCTCTAGGCTTTATCTTCTGGAGGCATGCCACTTCTGCAATAATCCCTCGTGGTCGTTAGTTCTTTATGTCAGCTGTAGTGAGCTATAGGATTGAAGTGTTTAGAGATTTTTTTAAAGATAGTTTTTAAAAAACATATTTCAGAGTTGAACCATAATTACTGTCCCTCTAGGAAGGCGCTTGCATGATTTTAGATGACATTGATAGTGCTGAATTGACAACTGTTGCTTTACGGTCATGGTTTCTTTCTGCACAAAGTTGTAAATAAAAATATGGCTTTGTGATATGACTGCTTTTCTGAAATGCAGAATTGCTAAATCTTTACTGGGATTTCAAGTTAATTTAATAATTTAGGAAGATAAGTAATACTAATTAATTTCCTCTGTAAGTAATTCCAATTAATGTGCTGGAGAGCCCCTGTTCAATTACTGCTGCCTTTCTGTGGCTTTGCAAGCTTTTGGTTTGTCATGCAGAATATTTTAGGATGAAGCCAAGAATCTTTTTAGTTTGCCAGTGAAAGATTTCCTCATGCTCTGCTTAAGCCACCAGAAGTTTAAGAAAGCAACACAATGAGCAAGGTGCATCATTTAACATCATTTGATGGATTTATCTTGGCCTAAATACAACATCCCAAATTTTAACTTTTAAGTTGTTTTTTTAATGTGTAGAGCTGGAGTATTCTTGCTGATAAGCTTTCATTATCCTGGTTGTGTTTTGGGTTGTCTTACTGTGTTTGTGATTATCCAAGTCCTCTGCCTGATGAAATTGAGGGGGATCTTTTGCAGTTCTGAAAATTGACAGCATGCATCTGTAGCCCTGTACCCTAAAGGAAGCAGATGCGCAAGACTTGGTCTGGGTATAAGATGGTTTACTCAGGCTGGCTCTCCATCTCTTGTCATTTCACTGCTGGAGAGGCAAGGAAAGAAAGACACATACTACAGGTTACGGCCTCAGAACTCCACTCCCACATAGAGTTTTACAAGCTTCTAAATGTTTTCTTTTCATGTTAATGAACTATGAGGAATGAAGTTCAATTGACTTTCTCCTGTTACCAGAATCATTAGATCCCAGTAGCTTGACCCTTGCTTTTCTTTCTCAACCTCTTTACAGCTCCCAAGCACCTCCAACTTGTGTCTCATTTTTTTGTTTTTAACAATGACTTTATAGGGAGAAACATATTAAAGCAAGTTTTTGTTATGGCTGATACTTTCAGTGATGATTTAAACTTTTTTTTTTTTATTCAGCTGATAGTGATTTCTTTAACTAATTTTTTTTTTTATTTTAGGGAAAATCTGCTTTGTGGTCTCATCTGTTACACTACCTAGAAAACAGACAGAGAAAAACTACATCAGGCAGCTTCAGTACCTCAGGTAAGATTGGCTTCTGCTGGAAGATGATGATTAAAAAACTATGAGTAAGAGCTGCCTGCAGATTTGCACCATGCAGAGATTGTTTCCTTGGAAATATCCTTCACCCAGTATAACTGAATCAAGTATTCTAGCTGCTATAGAATTAATATGGACCTGGTTTATTGTCTCAGTATATTTTGTGAAAAATAAACTTGTTTCAATTAAGCCTATTTGTTTGGGTCTGGTATCTGACTACTGCAATAGTCAGATACCAGAAATATCTACTATTTCAAAGATAGGCTTTAAAATGGATTGTTCCAATATACCGTCCTCCATGTGACACATAGTCACTGCATGACTGGCAAAACATATTATGTTATTAATGGGGGTGGAAAACAAGTACACGCATATAAAATTGTGCTGTACATCCTGAAGTTTTACATTCTCTCTTGAAAAACAACTGAACAGTAGGCTTATTGTTTAAAAGAAGATGACATTTAAAAAAATATAAAAACCACAGAAGAAACATATTTTAATTTTTGTTATATCAAGTGTTGCAGTAAAAGTAATATTGCATATAAGATCCACTGATAATCTGTTTCTAAGGTTATTAATGTAATTTGTAAACATTACTTCTGGTGTCAGATGGGGGCATAGGGCATAACTTTGGAGTGAGCAATGGGTTTGGGGAAGTGGGGGGTTCTTTTTTTTTTTTTTTTTTTTAAAGTTGCTGTAGGCAAAGAGCTGAGCATTACTAACATGCACAAGGTCCTGTAAGCAATCAGAAACAAAGGTTTGGAAAGTATTAAGGTCTCCTGAATGTCGCTTGCTCCATAGCATTTTTGCATGTCAGACTGAAGTTACAGTCAGTTTTATGCTTTCTAATTTGGGATTGAGGGCAGGGACTGTATTTAATATGCAACTTGATTCCAGAGTGGAATTTGAAAGATAAGAGAAATAATACTGCTTAAAAAACCCAAATTGTGCTATTGTAAAAAGTAGTGGTGTTACAGGAGTGTGCGAAGTTAAGCATAGGATGTGTGGTGTACCGAGTAAAATATGTCCAACACTGTTTTCTGGTGTCAACAGTGCCAGTCAGTTTTACTACATAGAAAGGAAATAGCGTAGTCTTTAGAAAATAATACTTGAGTAGTACATATCTTAAGCCATTTTGATGTCATACCAATTTCAGCTGAATCTAAGCTCATTAATGTGTTAATGCTCGGTATGTGCTGATCTGCATAACCATCTGTGTAGCATATTAGATTTTCATGTCATTTGAAGTGGAAATATGCCACAATGTCTTCGCAAAGCAGCGATTCACCAATAATATAAGAGTGCAAGTTGGTGTTCATTCACCTTCTTTTTTTAATATTGATTTAAAAATCTTTAGGTGGATTTCTACTAATGAGAAATTCTATTCTGAATCTAGGAATACTTCTTGATTCAGAAAGGAGAAAGTCTGATACCAGTCCAGCCATGTCACCTCTTAGAATCTCTCTCATCCAGGATATGAGGTGAGTTTAAACTATTGCAACTAACACAGAAAACCTGTGAGATTTGCATACTTGTTTCTGTGTATAATGTGTACTGTACAGAAAAGACTGTGTTTCATATAGCAGGAGGGGGATGCGGAGAAGGAACCTGCTGAACTGTTTTAAAGTACATAGTGCAACTTCTTCATTGACCTTTACAAAAACATGTTTCATACTGAGGAGATTTTACCTTGCCACAGCTACTAGCTTATAGAAATACCCTGACACACTTTTCATCTTTTTAAAGTATTCTGTATTGTTTTATTTCCACAGAGATGTGGCTGTAGCATGTGTGTTTTCCCTGTCATTGCCAAGTTGGTTGCGTAGCTCTGAGCTCATCCTTGCTTCTCAGTGAAGAAAGCAGTTTAAAGAACTTGTTTAATCTAAAGAATGGGTTTATTTAACATTGAGTACTGTAGTGTGAATAAAACTATAACTTCTGCTCAATGCCTTCTTTTCAGTACATCAAAAAACAATATACAGAACTTCTAAATTAATTTTGAAAGGATTTTTCTTTCCTTTTTCCTTACCAACATCTAATTTTTTCAGTAGGGAGGAGTGAATTGAGGATTTTCAAGGGACATGCTTGAAATATTTTAAAATATACCATTTGTGTCTTGTATGCAAGAAAAGCTACTACTGAGCATGCAGAGACAGTATTTAATTTTCCAAAGCACTCAGCCATAATTGTTGCAGTGATAAGGTCCAGAATGATTCCTTAAATCATGTCAGGCAATGGGCCTGGTTTAGAATTTTGTAAATAGGGCACTGCATTGCAGATATTTCCTTTTCAGGCTCTTATTCTTTTTGAGCTAGATATGCAAGGCATTTAGATAGTGCTGAATATTAAGGTGAACATGTCTCTTTTTCCAGTAGTTTGTCTGATATTTTGCATTCTTGGCAAAATTTCTTCTTCAGCCTAGCTTGGTTCAAAAGAACTGTCACACTTTGAAAATACTGGGCAGTGTCTTTTTTTTTTTTTTTTTTTTTTTTTTTTTTTCCAGGCATATCCAGAACATTAGTGAGATCAAAACAGATGTTGGCAAGGCCAGAGCTTGGGTTCGTCTCTCCATGGAAAAGAAGTTGCTCTCTAGGCATCTAAAACAGCTGCTTTCAGATCATGAACTCACAAAGTAAGATGGCTTATCTTAGGCAAAGCTTTTACAAAATTAAAGCTGTATAGTTGTTTGACTTCAAAAACCCCAAAGTGCCTATTCTTCCATCTGCTTAGCAGTGTGCAAAAGGAATAGAAAAAACTAGCCTTCCAAGTGTGTCTCTATACCTGTGTGTGAGCCATTTGGGAATTATGATTCAATGCTGGGGTTCTTCAGGTACAGAATTAGTTCTGTGAGTGTAGCCTGTCTGCAACTTTGAGGTGAAATCTTCAAAAATTGTTAGGTATTAAATGAAACAGGGCACAGGTCCAAACACCACTACTTTGCTGATTCAAGCTTTTTATCCTGCCTCCCTTTCTGTAACTGTGGGATATTTTGTTTTCCTTGGATTGTTTGTGTGGTTTTGGAATGCTTGGCAAAGTGCAGCTTAGGTCCTGGTTGCAGTTCTGGCACGATATGAAGAGTGTAAAGGCATATCCAGATGTGCTTCTGTGGTTCTGTTTACTGTGACTCAGAGTGACTGTTCCTTAGCTTCTCACTTCCGTCTCCAAACTTGAGACATTCTTGTAACTCCTTTTAGTGCTATGTAAAATAATGTAGATAAACCACACCAGAAGTTGATTTTAAGAGAGCAGATGAATGGTGTACGTGCAGTACCTTGAAGGTGACTAGAAAGGCTGTGATGATCAGTTCTTGCATCTCATTTTGGGGCAGTAATCTCAAGATAAGATCTGGTAATCTTTCGAAATCTTCCATCTAAATCTTTCAGGGCATGATTGTCCACATCTCTAGATCAAACTGACAGTGTCTCAGCTTGGTTTGTCCTCTCCTACACCATAAAGGTTTTGCATTTACAGCCTGCTTAAGAGTGTAAGGTGAATTGCTTTCCTAATAGTCAAATATCTGCTATTATGATCCATTTCTTGTCTTTATTATGTCTCCTAAACATTTCGATATACACGACTTTAAATTCCTTGTATATGAAGTCATAAAAAAATTATGAAAAGACCCAACCGTTGAGACCCAAAACACTATTTAAAGAGTAATTGTACTATAGGAAGAAAATGGGAGAAGTATATAAAGTATGAGGGGGGTGTGAGTGAAAACTGAAGACTTGAACCTGTAGAGAGTTCCAAATACTGCTCACTTAAACTCTGTCAGAAGTACTCTGTGCTAGTGCTTCCTGTAAGTACGCATCTTTAAGGGCAAAAGGAGAAAGGCTCAGCAGCAGGACTTACTTGATGATGTCCAGAGCACATGCATGTTGTATTATCTTCATAAACATAAATAATTCTTTTGTAAATAGTTGCACAAATCAGAGTACAGGCTGTATTTAATACTAATTGTTTTAGGAGTAACAGTTTGAGGTTTGTTTAGTATAATCTGTGCAGAAAAAAATGTATTGCTGATAAGATTGGATATAGTGTTTACTGTGTGGAAATTAAAGGTTCTGCTGTATGAGCCCTAGTAATTGTCATTAGCTTTAGTTGAAGACTTTCTTTTTGGAGACAGCTTAACCTATGCTGGCTACTCTTCCTTTCCTCTCCTCCCACTCGCACCACCTTCCAAGAAATGTCTGCCCTCCCCCAATCCCCCTGAGCCCCAACTGCTAATTACTTGAGATTTGCCTTGTGTTGAATTATGTTGGACTTTGATGAAGCTGTGGCCTTCCAACAGCGAGCAAGGAAAAGCTGAAGGACAGAGTGAGGATAGCTAATAAATCTACCTGTATCTCTAAATTAAGGTTAAGCCACTCCAGTGAAGTCAACAGTCCAGATCAGGTTAAATTTAGCAGTGCTTGTCCTGTGCAGAACATGTGCTGTGAGAGGACTTTCCACACACCACCACACTCCACGTGCCCCACCTGCCTCGCTCTCAAAAAGAAGAAAAAACCCATCTCTCTTAACATTGACCAATGCACTGCTCATCTATCAGACAGATTCTGGTTCTCTAGAGCAGAGTGAGTCAGCAGCAAAAATATGTTTAAAATGAAGCAGAGGAGCAACTTGCATAGGAGTGACATCAACTCTTTGTAATCCTGTGTGCTTTGTGCTGTATATTTAGGTATCCTACTTAAAGAAGGGTGTTCTAGGCAGCATGGATTTAAAGTGTGCTCCATTTTGCTTTTAGAGGAAGCAGTGCCAAGTTCAGTGAGGTACTAAAAGTAATTGTGCAACTTCCGCCATTTTACAATTAACATGATTGTGTGTTGTTCTTTTTTGAAGTAACTGTTAGATATTTTAATTAACCCATTCTCTTCACTTTGCATTTGCTAAAAAAAAAATATATATATATATATATATATATATGAAAACTGAAACAAGTTTGGCTTCTTTCTAGTCTGCAAAGTGAGTAGAGTTAGGGAACAGAAAGAAATCACATAGCTTCACTCCCCTGAGACCTTTACATGCACAAGTAAACTGAGAAATCTTACACTTTGAAAAGGCAGGACAGCACATACCTTTGTGGACGGGGTGTCTCAACATGTGGTTCAGATAGTTCAAATGAAACGCGGACACAGTCACCCCTGAGACCTTTGTGGGTTTGCTACTCTTGTGGCTACAGGCAGGTTATGTTGATTTGAGGCTCAGAATCTTTATTTCCATTGAGCATTTCCCATCAGTCTCTAGTGTGATGTTTGTTATGTAAGTGAGAATATGTGCGTGTGTTAATCATCATTGATCTGTTTTGCAAATTTCTGGCTTGGTAAGTTATTGCTGACTTTTTTGTAACTGGTATCTGAGATTGAGGGGAGTTGTCAGGATGCCCTCCTGGCAGGAACAACCTATCCATGGCTGTGTCAGCATTTCTAACACCTAATTCATGCATTCATGACATTTTGAATGTTCCTCTAGTGTCAGTTGGATTTTGATGCATCTTGGCATGCTCTTCTTTTACGATTGTTCACCAACACTGGTATTATTTATTGGTTGCATAATTAACAAAAATAGCAGTGATTGCTATGTACAAGTGAGTAACTTTAAGAGTATTTTCCAGTCAAAATTTGCACTTGGAAAGGTAGAGGTTATAAATTCTCTTCAAGGTTTCTCAGTTGCAGGTCTTGTGGTGTTAAATTTTCTATGTGTTTGAGTAATTTAAATAATTATATAAGATTGTTTCCATTTGCAGTGCATTATTCTGCATAGGCGTTAGTGTCTCCACTGGTGAGAGAAGGCTACTGAGCTACATCTTTTGATATTTTCACTTAAAAGAAGTTGCAGTTCTGTGCAGTGTTGCAGTCCTAGTAAACAGTTTGCAACCCAGTAAAAGGGAACAGTAGGACTTTAGACCACCTTTGCATGCTTATGGTTTTGGTTATGTCAGGAGCTGTGCACTGTCAGCAGCGAAGCTATTCCCTAGCTTAATGTGTGGGTTGTTGTAGGCCCTGGGTTATCCCCTATAACCTAATACAAGCAGATAGCCCCAGTGTTTGCCCTAGTGTCCTTTGAAAACAGTCTTCTAACTGTCTCATGTCACGTGCTGGAGGACTCTCCCACGGCACCATCTGCTCAGGAGTATCTTACGAGGACTCTCTTCAGTTCTGTCATTTTACATGGATGGCCAAAAGAAGTCAGATTTTTTTTCCAAGAAAGTACAAAATTCCTTTTTTCCATCTTTTGAGGTGTTCTTGGGTGGGGGAAGACCCTTAGACCACCCCAAACCTTGCTTTCGAGGGGTGGCAAATAGTGTGAAGTATTGGTCTGATGCACTTGGGAGACTTAAGACTTGCAGAGTGTCGATATATGTTGGCACATTAAATACTGTTGGCTCTACCAGTATCACTTGTCATTTGTAATTGCTTGCTCATTCTTCATAGTTTACCTAATAAATATGCACAATAGAAAACATTTCACTGAAAGCATTTTGTTACTATGACAGATTATTTGTTTTGCTTTGTCAGAAAACTCTACAAGCGTTATGCATTCCTCCGCTGTGATGATGAGAAAGAACAATTCTTATATCATCTCCTGTCATTCAATGCTGTTGATTACTTTTGCTTTACCAATGTTTTCACAACAATCTGTAAGTATTTGCTTTCCCTGGAACTCTGACTTCCAGATTTGGTTAAGTCCTTATTCAAAATTCTAAACAGCTCTGAGCAGCATGCCATAATGTAATTGTTCTGCTTTCTTCCTGGTATCCATCTGTGTATGCTGTATCACTATTTCTATGATCTTTTCTGGTGTCTCTCTCTGTGTCACTAAAGGTTTTTGTTTCTAACTTGGTAAAATACGCAGCTTTAATCCTTTTAGTTGGGGGAGAGTTCTCAACAGAAAATTTTGTGGTGAGCTTGTTTGCATCATACTAAACAAGAACAGTATGGATTGTTCATTTTCGAGGTAAGAATATTAACACGCGCTAGGATTTAAAAAGAAAACAAAAAAACTTCCCTCTTTTCATGCTCAGCCTACTTTGCCGCATGCCTGTCCCTGAGTTTGGGATAACAATGAAATGCCATTGAGGGCTGCATCAGAACTCTGCAACACATTGAAGTTTTTTTTTTTTTTTTTTTTTTTTTTTTAAGATGTCCTAGAGAAACTTTTAACCTGTTGTTGCTGATGCTTAAATGTGTTACAGAGTTCTCGTGTTTGTCTGCCTGCTGCCACAGGACCTCACTAGTAGGGTGGAATAAGGAAAGACTTCAGCAAGGCTTATAAAATTCTGTGTGTGTGTGAAAGGACCCTTTTGGCCCCATAGTAGGAACTAGACTTGATGGTATGTTATGATCCATATTTGTGTGTATGAAAGACAGAGCAAGTGGACGCCTGAGCAAAATGGGTTTTGGTCTTGTGGGCAAGTTCTGGACGATGCTAAAATCTGGTCTGCTGGATGCAGTTAAATTATCACTTACTTTAAGACTATCAGCACAGAAAACAAAAAGGGAAACATTTTAATTAATTCTTAAATGCTACAAGCATCAAGCTTTTAAGAAAATCCAACCACCAAATGCTTTCTTGAGGGCACTGACAACTGAGGAGGCATTGAAGGAGAAATGTATTAAACGCCTCAGCTGAAAAGCCCTAACTGTAATCCATTTATGCACTATAAAAGAAGGGCAGATTGCCAAGAAACACAGTGACCATTCAGATAATTGGATTTTGTTATAAAAGTTTGGTTAATAGGGGGCTGTGCGTGAGATGCTAGGCAATTGAAGAGCGCATGCATTTCCTCAGGAGCCTCCTGAGTCAGAGAAGGGGCTGTAACTCAGGTGATGCTATGTTGAATTAGTCACTGGTAAACCAGGGGACCAGAAAGTGTTTGAGCATGTGTGTGGTGCCAGTGAAAGGGGAAGAAAGTTGTTTGTTCTTTTTAAAATCAAGAAGTCCTACAGTTAGCATAACTAAGAGCAACATGGTACAGAGAAACTTGCAGCATTAGAATGTATTTTCACTGAATTTGTTCAGCCATAGTAGTGAATGCTGCTGCAAGCAAGCCCTGCAAACAAAGACTTTGGTTAGTAATTGAATGGGAATTGGTGTTAGTTTTGTAGTGTGCACACACGCACACACACACAAAAGCAGGCAGTTAGGAGTTGAGCATTGAGTTGCATGCTGAACTACAATGTAGTCCTGGATACATGACTATTCTGTCTTTACTTCTTTGTCTCTAAGCTGGGGACAAGTAACCATTTTCATGACATGTTTTGAGGCTGGTAAATGAAAAAGTATTATACCCATATGAAGGCATTATTACCTCCATATTTCTTTTTTCACTTGACAGTGTTTTGCTATCAGCTCTGCTTCTTAATGACTGCTATGTGTACACTTCCTGATTGTCAGTCAGTGCTTAGTGTGCAAGTGTTAGCGTGATTAAATAGCGGCTCTGATGTTGTTTTAACATTTCATGGTACTGCAGTATTTTATGACTTATCATTTCCCCCTCTCCTCATTAAAGAGGTTACATCATTATCCTTCTTCATTTTTGAAGCATTATTTCTTCTTGTGTTTGCAGTGATACCATACCATATATTGATTGTTCCTAGCAAGAAACTTGGTGGCTCCATGTTTACAGCAAATCCTTGGATCTGTATCTCGGGAGAACTGGGTGAAACAGGAGTCCTGCAGATTCCCAGGAATATATTAGAAATGACTTTTGAGGTTTGTATTGCTTGATACAAGAAATGCTTTGGGTGTTCTGTTAGTTCAGTTCTAAATTTTTCCCTTGCTGTACCATCTTGCCATACAATTCATATCTTTAGCCTGTGTGGTTAGTTGCAAATACTTCCTGTGCTTGTACATAGCAATTTTAATCTATATTTAATAACACGCAGAGCAAAATGACTGACAAATCCTTAGTGCAAGGATGGACAAGACTGTCTTTGTATTACAACTTTGTGCTGTAATGGTGGGAGGTGTCATATCCTCTTCGATTGGAAACAAAGAAGTGATTCTGCTCTGATTTTTGTGTGTGCACATTGGCTAAAATTTACTTGAAAAATCTAGTTCAACTGATGTTCTTTCTGCTGATCAAAATAGTATTTAACAAAACAAAGCAAACAAAGCAATCTACGCCTAAAAAGCGCAGAATCAATCTTTCAGTCAGGAGAACCACATTTCTGATTCCCTGTCTGAGCATGTTCTCTAATAGTTTACTCTTCCAACATGATGCTCTCTTTCAGTTTACTCTGACAAACTCTTTGTTTAATTTGCAGTGCCAGAACCTGGGAAAACTGACCACAGTGCAAATAGGACATGATAATTCAGGGCTGTATGCCAAGTGGCTAGTGGAATATGTTATGGTCAGAAATGAAATAACAGGGCATACTTACAAGTAAGTATCATCCTGATGTTTCATGTTAGGTAAGTAGAATTTCTGCAGGGAGCTGGCACAGTAGGGCTTGTTTGATTAGAAAGGTCTAATCTTCTGGGACTTTGTGTCTACAGTTCCTGCTACCTGAAGGCATAGAAAAAGATCATTTGGCTTCTGGTGTTAAACAAATAGTGATTCTTAAAATTTAAACGGACATTTCAGTTTACAGATGCTCATGTCTAGCCTCAAAACACTGGTGGAGAAGATGAGTTGACTGTTGCACATCTTAAAAATAATCTGCCTTGAGCCCAAGGAAGAAGTAGCAAGTTAGAGCATGCTGCTTACCAAATATGGGTGGTGTATTTTATATTAAGGCTGAGTGCTCTAGGTGTTATACAGAGACCTTTGGACACAAGCTGGAACACAAGGGCTTATGAGTGTTAGAAACCTGTGTTTGCATAGTGAAAGTAAAGGAATAAGGTTTACAGTAAGAATTAAATTTATTTGTGTTGGTTACAGCATAGTTTTATGCCCTGTCCTTTGTTTAGAGAAACTGTCAGGCTCATGTTGGTGACAAATTGGTGGATAAGTCCATTCAGTTCTCTGTGCCAGTTTGTTTGTAATTAAATGAAGAGGCAAGATTCTATTTTTGGATGCTGTTCAGTTTTCTGATTAAGCTGATTAAACTGATATTAATGCTGGTTCATAGAAAGTGATAATGAGCAAGTGAGCACATGTGCTTTCTAGTGTCTGATTTAATATCCCAATTTAAATAGGTGCTTTGGTGTTTTGGCATTTAAGTATATGTTTGGGGGTTAGGTTTTTTTGTGGCTGGCCTACTATGTAACGTATTAAGTGAAAGCATAGATGTATTTCACCACACACCTATAGTGTGTAGTGGGTCTTCCCCTTCTACATCTTTTTCCTCTGCAGCCCTCAAATCATGTGCTACATGTAGGATGCAAGACAAAATCTGCTGCTGTTTGCAGATCATCTGGTGTGACATTTAGCACAAACTTGGAACTGAAAAGCTGTTTTACTTTTGCTCCCTCTGCCGGCAAAAGCCAAACCCAAGACTGTTATTTGTTGCTAGAGTAAAGTATTTCTAATAACTGTACTACCAGAATTTGGGTTTTATGAAACTGCTTAAAGTCTTTGGCATGGAACTGAATCTAGGTTGAAGGGCATGAATCACATATCTGCTTTATGTTCTTAGGTTTCCCTGTGGAAGGTGGCTTGGAAAGGGAATGGATGATGGCAGCTTAGAGAGGATCCTGGTGGGAGAGTTGCTGACTTCACACACTGAGGTTGATGAGCGGCAGTGCCGAACCCCTCCTTTGCAGCAGTCACCAAGCATGATCAGAAGATTTGTCACTATATCACCAAACAATAAGCCAAGTGAGTGGTAGGGGATGTCTTGTACTGTTCTGCATCATTGTCTGACAAGAGCTGCTTGCAAACAGAACTGCAAGTTTTCATGTATTTTAGAACTGTAGCTTGGAGAGGACCTGTGAAACTCACTTAGCCCAAACCTCTGCTCAAAGTCCAACTAACTTCTGAATTACAATCCTGAGCAACCTGTTCTAACTACTCAAGTTTTGAAAGTCTCCAAGGATGGAAGGAAGATGTCTCTAGACTCCTGGTCCAGTGCTTAGCTCCCCTAGTCGTGTTTTCTGTATTCTTGTCCTTCATCTATGGAATGAATGCTATGGAGGAAGGTAGAAATTTGCTGTCCTGTCTCTATCTATTCTTCATGGATGAAAAAGCTTGCTAGTGGTTTCTATTCATGGACTTTAGTTTTCAATTGAGATCGCTGTTCTAGGGTTGTCTTATTCCTGATAAATCAGGTGGTTACTTTGCTCCCAAACATGCTTGTGTTTACAGCGAAACTACCACAGGAAGTATTTCCAGGATGTCCAGATTTGGTGGTCCTAATCAAAGCACAGCTCCTTTTCTTAGCTTTGAGCCCTGGTCTGAAAATACACATAATATGTAAAAACCCTTTCTACCTGTTGCTGTGTTGAAACACCACAGTGTAAACCTCGATATAAAACCAAGCCATCTCCATTTCTACCTCCTCCACAGTAAATAAAAGTAGAACTGGATTTCTATTACCCACAGTCTAGCACCTTTTCACTAACAGCATAAGTTATACTGCTTTGTGCTCCTCTTTTTTTGTGGTATGCCTTATCCCTCATGCACAGGTACAATTTCTCAAGTTGTTACAGAGTGACTGGGTATATTTTTGTGTTTTGCAGAGTTAAATACTGGTCAGATACAAGAAGCTATTGGTGAAGCTGTCAATGGTATTGTCAAGCATTTCCACAAGCCAGAGAAGGAGGTGAGGAGTTGTCGTCTGTGTAGTGGCACTCCTGTCTTAAAACTCTTATTAGTAAGCATTGGAGAATATATAACAGAAATAACTAAACTGAATGAACAGCAATCTGTTTGAAAATTTCTTAAGTGGAGAAAAAATGAGATGCTGAGACTACACTGTTGGAATAGTACATTCTCAAGTACCTCAGTTGTGCTGCTAACTGGAGCATTCTGTTAATTTCAGTGTTAACATTCTGGTATTGGAAATTGTGTTGTCAAATTCTGCCAAGGATCCTACCTGTACCACTGTCAAGAGTGTTGCCTTCCGTTTAGTTTGTTCTGGATTAACTGACATTTTACATCTACTTTGAGGACTGAGTAGGGTTTTTTTATGCTTGATTTGCATTATCTTTGCTACTTAAAGCATGAAAACCCATGGGCTGCTTTTAAAAAAAAAAAAACACCAAAAGAAACAAAAAAGACCCACACTCAAACACCTGCCCCCACCCCCTCCGCAAGTGAAGCAGAAGTGCTCTCAAAGACTCTGGTACACTTCTGTGTTATACATGTAATCATCTTAACTGACACAGCAGTTATTTCCTGGAACAAACTTAAGAAGCATTCCTCTGTCAAACCATAACAATCTAGCCCTTGTGAGCCAGAGTGGTGTAGAGCACTGTTTGGGTATCTCTTGAAAGTCATTAATTTTTTACAAATAGGTTCTCCCATTCCTTCTGCACCTATCTTTTCTAAGTTCAGTACAGCATGGCAAATTCATATACAGGATAATTCTGGTTGATGATCACATTTACACAATAATCTCAAGTGGCTGTGCGCTGGTTTTGCACAATAGAATTTACCATCATGTTCTAAAGAAGAATATGTTTTTTTTCTGAAGTTTAAAAATTGCATTAAATATGTTTGGTGTGTTGATAAGCAAACAGTCTGAGGCACCTGCTACAATGGACCTGTGATCTTTATTACTTAGTAAAAGAGGAAAGTATTTTCTTAATTTTCTTTACAGTGGTCATCACTATAGGTAAACCTGCTCATGGTCTTATCTTGGCCTTTTTGTGGCTTCATTTGATGACAATGAGGCCCTGAGACTGCTTTCTTCAGCCTCGTTCTTAGAGAGGTCAACACATTTTTGAATGCTCAGGACTTGTGAGAGCTGGGCCATCCTGTCTGGGGCCACTGTTTGACAGTAGACTGTAACTTTGGGCATCTATTTATTTAAAAGCCGGTTTCAGTAATACATGCATGAGACACTTCTGTGTCCCAGACTTCCAAAGTGAGACAATAAGTGTGTGTGCTTTCTGTGTGTGCTTGGCAGAGAGGCAGTCTGACGCTCTTGCTGTGTGGAGAAAGTGGACTTGTTTCAGCTCTTGAGCAAGTGTTTCAGCATGGGTTTAAATCACCGAGACTCTTCAAAAACGTCTTTATTTGGGATTTTTTAGGTAAGTGGGAGGAAGACGTACGAGAGCCTGTTTGTGTCTTTGAATTGTATCCATCCGTGTTCTGTACCGCTGGTGTGAATAGCATACTTCTTGGAGGCATCCTGGCAGCTGAATTGCCCTAAGAGCTCTTGCCTCCTCATACTGTTGAGAGAAAGAGCATCTGTCTTCTGCCAAAGTTGACACTGTACTTAGTACAGTAACTGGACTTCTAGCAGTAGTAGTGTAAAACAAACTTTCTTAGTGAGGAAGAATTATTTAAATAAGGTGGTGAGTTGACATATGGTAACCTTGTTCTTAATTGAGCATACTGAAAGCAATCACACTTTTAAGAGGTTGAGTTGCCTTATAAAGTACAACAGATGGATCTAGTGCTATTGGTACTTACTGGACATTGTAATAAAGGGGTTATAAGCGTACATTTTTCACACAGTGGTCTAGATCCTTTGACATAGAGTTGAATAAATCAACTGAGTACACAAATACCTTTTAGAAAAGGCATTATTTTTAACAGTGTTTCTGTGTTTTGAGTAGGTGCTTTGACATCACTCTTCTCCTTATCATTTTACTGTAGCATCTCAACATTCAGTAGATAGGAGAACCTCTTTAGCACTCTTCAGAGGGAAGGAAGTGGAATCCCAGTTTTACACATGGGGAACACAGGACTGAATCAAACATCAAAAAACAAGGCCTAAATGTACCCTTTCAGGAAATTAATGGATGAGCTTTGAATCTAGGCCTTTCAGCTTCCAAGTGTCCCCTCCATGACACAGACACTCATGCTGATTTGCCAACAGTCCAGTATAAGCATCAGATAGCCTTACGGATTTGTAAGCTTGCTTACAGGGAAAGTGTTATACTGAGGTGGTATTAAGTTTAATCATCTAAATTTGATGATCATAGTGCCTAATTATTTTATTCCAAGCACAGGAGAATGATATTTCAGATATTTTAGAAATGCTATATGCACTGATTAAACTTCATTATCTCCCACCATTCTTTTAAGAAAAAGCACAAACTTACTATGAGACCCTTGAGCAGAATGAGATGGTCCCAGAAGAGAACTGGCAGACAAGAGCCAGGAATTTCTGTCGCTTTATCACTGCTATCAACAACACCCCTAGAAACATTGGGAAGGATGGCAAGTTTCAGATGCTGGTGTGTCTTGGAGCCAGGTATAAACAAACTTCTTTGTTATTACTATTGATATTTTAATAAAATGAAAAGGATGTTGCGTATTAGTAAGATAAAGCCACACAACTGCTGGGTTATGCAGTTTGACTATTACTTACACAGTTCTCTGATGTAATTAAAGAAGGATTAAGTGAACCGTGCCCTGACTGAGCTCTTAGGCACGTGAAGCGTGGGAAATCTGACACACAAAACTGAATATCCCAAAGAGCTGAGCCACTGAATCAAGAGAAAAAGGTAGTAGGCTGGTGTGAATAGCCTCCCTCTTGTATACAGCTAGCAAGGAGAGAAGGCAGAAACAGAAAACCATCCAGCGGTGAGGCCTCTCCAGTTAATGGCTGAGTGAATTCCCCACCCTTCACCTACTCACTGTAGGAGATGGGTAGGAGGGAAGCTGGGACTATCTAGAAGCCTCTTGACACAAAGGCAATGAGGAGGCTAGTGACTTTGGGCCTGCTTGGGAATTCCAGGCCTCCTGGGAACCGTATCTTCTGATGGGAGGGGTGGAAAAGTGTCTCTCATGAATGCTCCCTTCTTAAACAAGTTCCACAGACAGTGAGTCCCCCTTCCCTGTCTTATAAAAATATGCAGAGAAGATGGTAGGTCTGTTTAGAAGGCAAAGAATAAAAATCATGTCGGTGAAAATGAGAAATTAACTTGGCTTTATTTTTATTTCCAAATTGCAAATTGCCACTTTGTCAGAGACCACCTTTTGCATCACTGGATCGCCCTGCTTGCAGACTGCCCAATTACAGCACAGATGTATGAAGACATAGCACTGATTAAGGATCATACTCTTGTGAACTCTTTGATTCGAGTGCTGCAGACCTTGCAGGAGTTCAACATTACGCTGGAGGCATCTCTTGTCAAAGGAATCGATATTTGACCTCTTGTCCCACAGGAGAAACTGTCTTTAAAAAAAAAGAAAAAAGCAACAAGGAGTGAAGCTTGTTAGTATGCAAAAGTTCTGTCTGCCAGTACATTGTATCGTGAACTCGTTCATGGCCCTAAAATGCAACTTTGACTTTTCTTGAAGGAAACTCCAAAAACAGTACAGGCAAATGGATAGAAGCTGTAAACTCAATGTAAAAAAGAGGATTTTGGTATAAATCTATTTTAGAGTTTATTTGCCGATTTGCTTTTTACACACTTTCATGTGAAAGAGATAGAGATGAGTATTGTGCAGCTTATTTTAAAGCTGCAGTATTTCCTTGCCATAGAAAATGTGCAGTGAGCCTTTCAGCATTCTGTAAACTTGCCTTCAGATATGCTGTATGTCATAGACCCCAATGTATACACTCCATTTCTGCTGAGAAGGTCATTCTATAGTTTTTAAACTAATATTTTATATATTAACATTATTACCGATGTTTGATTTTTAACGTATTGGGTCATGTTTTGCTGCAAGGGAACTACGAATCTGATGTGTGCTTTTTTTTTTTAATATCTCCAAAGCACTGATTTGTCAACAAATCATTTTTTCCTTTATTTTTGTTGTCAGTATTATTTTTAGTGAAATCCAGGAAGACTGAACCATGAAATGTGCAGAGATCAAAGTAATATTTTTCATATTGGTACGTAATTGCACAGAAGAAATTAAGTGTGTTTTTTAACTGATGTTTTTTATTTATTTAACCTATTGTTATGTTTTGTAAGTTTGTCTTTAAAAAAAAATCTAATCTTCTATGATACAACTGGCTATATTATGTTGCAATTCAGAATTTACAGTGCAGCCCACTTAAATGAAAAACCTGGAATAATTGTTCACAACACAAAAATGTTTCCACTTGAACCAGCCTTTTGAAGTTTGGTATATGGTTGCTGCTGGTAATTCTCTTAACTGCTAATAAAGAGGGGCATGAGTTCCCCAAATGCCAGATGACTAAATAAAGATGTTTATGCCCTCACGAAATAATAATGGTATACCTTACTAACAAATATAAGGACTTCTTAATTTTTCTGAAAAGATAGTGAGTGGTAAGGTTTCTTTTTTTCCTTTTGAATGAATATGTCTTGGGTCCAGTTGTCACAGTCTGCTTCATTTGGGATACTTTTGTTTTTAGCAGAGAAAGCTTTAGTCCACTTCTATAGTAAAACACAAACATTTTGAAAGCTTAATTTATTGGAGATCTGGAACTTGGCAAATGCCTAAAAGCATCTCCGTTCATTTGACTCCTCTGATTAAAAATATCTTTGAAATGAATATGTGACTTAAGAACAGGCTGATTTATCAGCATCACAAATTACTGTACAGAAGTTCAGGGCTATGTATTTAAGAGGTCTCCACTGTATAAACTTATCTCAGTATTGTCTCTCTTGAGAAGCAGAGTCCAAGTTTTTTGCTTCATACAATGTTGTAGCACCTTTTCTTTACCTACAGCATAGTCACATCTTGTGATAGTTTTATTTCCATAATTTATAAGTATAGCACATGTATTAAATTTTTGACTATTTTTACTTTTGTCCTATTTATTTCATTATTAAACTGAAAAGTTCCTTTGTCACTACTTATCAGAGCAAGATTCTTTTTTGATTTCACAGTAGCATTAGGAAGATGTAAGGGCAATGTCCAAGCCATTCCTCATGCTGGGTGGGTGTGAATTCTTTCACAGCCTGGAGCTTACGGAAGCAGTTCACAGAAGTATTTTGTGTGTGCAAGTTTGGTTTTCTTGGTTTTTTTCCAGCTTTGGAAGGGCAAAAATAAAACAGATGTACTTTATTCTAAGAATTTCATGTATTCAACTTAATATGCTGGGATAATCTGTATATGCTTGCCCCAAATTGCTTGTTTATATATTAATAATAGCAAAAAAAAAAAATTACAGCGCTTTCAGCTATATTTAAGGCAACTTTACTAGGCCTGTGTATTTCACAGGGAATACGTCTACGTAAGAAAGGAGGGTTGCATTAATTACTTTGACCTTAACAGATTAGTCGATCCTGTTGAAACTGTATCTCTCATAGTATTAAGTATGGATTAATTTTACCTTGCATGAGGTAATTAACCCTGAATTAAGGTTGGTTATTTTCTTTTTTTCTTCTTGCCACACTAGGTGAACTTGTGTAATGATTGGTTTAATGGCTTGCTCTGGTGTGGATCTTTTTGGCCTCATTATGACAGTTAGCGATACCTGAACACAGGCTGGGGTTTGCTGGTTCCCAAGAGGTGGGTTCTTTGGCTAGCACATGAGGGTGATGCTGTCCATCAGAGACAGCACCCTGTGTGCTAGCTGTCCAGATGCAAAAGGAAGATGCAGAGGTCATCTTCCCAGCTCCTCAGTTACTTTATTTTCACAGGAAAGACCGCTTTCTGATAGCCCCTTCCTTCTCTCATAGGGGGTCTGTGCTTAATCCTGTGAGGATTCAAAGCACTTTTTGTTATGGACTTCCAAGTCTGGAAGGATTTGCTCCACTGAAGGACCAGTAGAAGATTCTGAAATGCAGCTGAAAAAATGTTGGGTTTGTTGGATCCAGAGGCCACCAAGGAAGACTGAGATATTAAATATAGCTATGTGGTAGCCCGGGCTAGGGTTTTGGGAAGACATTTGGTTGGCATATCTAAGAACAGTTCAGTCTGAGTAGCAGTCATAATCCCTAGAACTCTTCAGTTTTTACCACAAACCAACCTCCTTCTTTCATTGATGTAGCTAGCATCAGTCCCACAGAGTAATGTTAGGATCCAGCATTTGCTCCTTCCATGCCATTCTACTGAACTGGATGACTCTGTATAAGAACAAATGGTGTAGTCAGCATCTTTTTAACTAGAGCTTTGTAAAATCCATCTCCCTTTGTAAAACAAGCATTGTAATTTTTGTTCAGAAATGAGCTCTAGAATACTGCAATTGTAACCTTTTTTTTTTTTTCCTCTGTTACTTTTCTAAAATAAGGGAGCAGGTTTAGTAGGTGCAGGTTAATGTGGCTATGCTGTTTTCTTGTTTGGGGTTTTTTTGGTAACAGTTAATGGGAAAAGATAATGGTTTTTTTAACAGCACACATGCATTCTGTAGAGAGAAATGTAATGATAAAAAATAAGTAGTTCATAATGCAGTAAATATATAACGCTAAATTGGCCAAACACATTTACAGGCTGATACCTGATTTGGGGGGAAAAAAAAAAACCAGGCTGTCACCTATCAATTATTTATGCTTCCTTGATTAATGCTGTCAGAGTTGATACAATGATACTTTATACAAAAAGAAAATGCACATTAATAAAGACTTGATTTAAATGTAGTGAAACACTATGACGATAAGTTTATACAAAAAAAAAAGCCTTTACCTGCCGTAAACTTAACCATCTGACATTGTGTAGCTGAAAACATATTCATGAACTGAAGACTATTCCACAACTTTTTCCATTACAAAGCGTGTTTTTCAAATTGTTCAAATGGGATCTACTAGCTGGATGATCCATCTTTTTGATGTGTTTTGAATTCATGAATATGTTAAGATTTCTGCAGTGAAACTATTCAGAGTTAACTTTTTCTGTATATTGTCAAATGATTTTTGTCTGTAGTTCAAGATACTATAGGATACTTGAAAATACGTGAAGATATTGTACACGTACTTCACATCTTTGTAGTTCATTATTTTATACCTAGAGATTGGCTGTTAAACTAAGATAAAGCATTAATACGTTATAAACTATATATTTTACTACGTGGGGAAATCACTGGCTTGGTTTTTTTTAAGGGCGGGCATTGAAGTTTACATTATAATGACAAAACCAGGTACTGTTTTCCTGTTTTATTTTTCCTGTGACATTTCAATCCCTTGGACATTAAATGTGAATTGGATATACAAAACAGTTTTACAGGTGTAGCTCATTTGCTGAATTGCAATAAAATTTGTCTTCTAACATGAAAAATAGCATTAATGTGCTATTTTCAAAAGCTGCTTATTATAATTTGGCTAATCATCTTCTTTTTGCCTGACTGCAGGTATGTATGACATTCTAGTGTCTGATTTCAGGAGAGATTTTTGTACGGTTTTGTATCAGATCTGTTCAACTAAATGCTTGCCTCCCTCCCACCGCCAGTGTAGCCTTCTCGCAAGCAATTCTTGTCGGTCAGACTGCCATCAGTGGAAGAGATGCCTACTCAGTAATCGTGGAATAGGGAGAACAGGAAGGCAAGGGGACTAAGCAGATGTTGGAAAGTGTCTGTGAGTACACACACACGTATGTGCTGACATTTATATTAGCTTTTTTCCTACCTTAGAACAATTTTTGATCCTAATGACCAAATTTGGTGGAGGTCTTCAAATTTTATGTTCTGAAAAATAAAGTTAGTCACCTCTATGTACCATGTACTCAACCTTTCTCTTTATATGAGAGGATCCATATGGAGAAGCAGGAATTGTTGGAAATGTAACTATCTGATCCTTCAAATATAAGGTTAAGTGAGAAAATAGCACTGTCCTCCATCTCTGAGATTCTGACATCTGTGGCACGCATGCATGCCCTAGCATTATTGCCTATATTGCCTGTTTCCTACTTTTTTTACTCTGTCTTTGCCCAGGGTAAGATCTAATTTGACAGATAGTCCCAGAGGAGGAATTACTGGGTGGAGTGATTGTACTGGCACAGAGGCAAAAGTATGGTTCCTTCCCTCTCCATTCATTCACTTTTTGAATGATCTGAAGTACATACTGATATAGTGGAGCCCCGTATAATCTTGGTTCATTAGATACTGCTCTGCTTATCTCACCTTGAAACTGGTTCTGCCTGCCTTACTGCATATTAAATGTAGTTTTTTAGATTTGAGTGGAGTAGTAAACAAATGTGAGCGCAACTCATTTGTAGTTACGCTTTTGTAACTTTTCTGCTGCCTATGTCCTGGAATTTTTATATGTCAGTTGTGCGAGAATCAGGGAGACCAGGTCAGTTTTACTCATTTTCGTCTCCTGCTTCATCCAAAATGCACTCCTTGGAACATCCCTGCTTGAGCAGTAGGGTTGGACAAGATGACCTCCAAAGGTCCCTTCCAACCTCAGTCACTCAGTTCCTCCCCATGTAAAATGACAGGAACAGGTAAGAAGACTGAATGCTGCTTTCCCCATGTTGTATGGTTTCTGCCATTCCTTAGTAGCCCAGTGTCTGCAAAAAAGAGTTCATCCTTCAGCTGCACTATTTTTCCTGTGGTTTTAGGGAGCTGCCCTCTCTTTTGTCAGCTATAGCCAGAGAGACTTGCTTATTCTTCTAACCTGCATGTTAGCAAACTTCTGCTTTGACAAATTTCTGTGTTGAAGCTGACAAATATAGAAGGTAACTTTCTCAGCCTGGGAACGGTGGTTCAAATTATGGCTGTTCTGGGGTTGGTGGGGTTCACTCTGTGTCAAACTGTATGAGATCATCATTGGATGTTTTATACCATCAGGAAAAATGCAGAAGGGAAGGAGTTTGATCATTACTTGGAGGTATCTATGCTTGCCTCACCTCTTCGTTTCTCCCCCCACACACACCCTGGTCTGTAGTGGAGAGTTTTTTAAGCAAAGCAAATTAAAAAGTGTTAAGATCTCTCTTGCGGGAACCACATCAGTCTTCCTGAGCTGGCGGTGATTCTGCGCTAGTAACAACGGATGGTGTCATCCTGCGGGCTCGCTGGGGGAGATGCTGAGAGGGTGAACGCAGCCTGCCCCATGCTCTGATGAGGTGGTGCTTGTGGCCTGAGCCTTGGACAGGTCTGGGGGGGTGCAGTCATGAACTCGGTACCTGCTGCCAGGCATTCCGCTCTTGTGTGAGATGCCAGACCTGCCTCTCTCTCTCGGAAACAGGCTCTCTCAATTCCCTAGGCTTATTAGACCTGCCGCTTCTAATTCCTCTGCAGGGCACTGCGGGGATGGCCGTGGGGCAGGCCTGGATGGAGCTGTGAGGTAAGTGCAGCTTCAGAAACACATTCACCTCATCACAGGTGGCTCTGAATCTTTCAGACGTCCTGCAAGGGGAAGGAACAAAAAGAACGGGGGCCATGGTCAGCAAAGTGTGTTGTGCAGCTGCTGGGTTCACAGCACTTTTCCAAATGTCAGGTCTGAGGTGGTTTTATAGAAGGCGATGCTTATTAACGTCTGTTGGAGAGGAGAGTTTGAGTGCTAGGCAGTGATTGTTGACTAACTGCTCTAAACACAAGGGTCTAGAAATTTTATGATTTGTTGTAGTGATGACTTGGAAAGTTCTCACAAAGAAATACAAATGTCAAAGAGCTGCACTAAGCAGGTCTTTGCCTAAAAGTTCTTTCACATAGCAAAATGTCTCCTTTTTTTCCCCCTATGAACTCAAAGATGCATATTCATTAATAGAACATAGCATATTCAGTCCTGCAATAAACAGGAACTGTTCTTCATTTCAGTGACAGTGGCAATTTAAGATGCAGATTCTGCAACATTTAAAATATCACTGGTGGATCTGATGTTTGTTTCAAGGAGGTTTTTCTACCAGTGGCATAAAAAGACTTAGACAAGGAGTATAAATTACATGAGAGAGTCCTTTAGACTCTTTGTGACCAGAGGAACCCCAGATTTCCTCTCTATTTGAGATAAGCCACATGCAGGTCCTGCTTCCAAGGAAAGACACTGTTAAATTGCAAAAAACGAATTGTGATTACTGAAGATGTGTTATTTTATGTAGAACTCGACAACCTGTTTGGTAGCTCGGAAAGCCCTTGGATACTAAGATGGAAAGTGTAAGTGCAAAAGTTTGAGTGATTCATTTCAAAGGAAAACAATTGTTCAAAACCCCGTATACATACAGAGATGAGTAAGACTTGAAACCACAACTCTGAGAAATTACGTGTGTGAAAAGCTTTGGAATAATGACATATTTGAAAGTATATCCTCACTTGTCTTTCTGCCCCTTTCCCTTTTTTGTTCCAGCATCCCACCCCCACCCTGCCCTGTGTTGTTTTCAGCTTCTGGCACAAGCACTCATTATGCTCACTCAGTCATGTTAAATTTTGGCTCAGTATGATGCGCTGCTGCTCAGCCCAGCAGACCCACTACTTCTCACTACATCGAAGTACAAATGAAATGGCAATCAGGATGTCTTCAGATAAAGTTTGCTTATCATTAAATAACAAAATTTAAGGAGGATTATAAGGCATAAAGCAGTTTTTATCCCAAATTTTCAGACAGAAGTATTCAACTCGGGAGATCAGGTGCAGAATTTCTGGAGCAGTTTTTACATCCAGCTGCTCTGTGGCAGCTTAGCCACAATCTCTCAATGTGAGGCAACTTCAAGTGATACTTGAAGTGGAGGGCAGGGGGGAATTGGGGGATCTTATCTGTATGGAAGAGTTCCTTTGGAGCAGCAGACAAGTGTTCGTAGCAGTGTTGTGCTTCTGGCAGTCCAAAGAGATCCAACAGTGTTAGCAGGAAGAAGTTCTAGGTGTTGCAAGATTATAAGGTAGCGTGCACATTGGTACGATTCGGAAAGAGCAGACAAGTTTTCTGATGTGCAGCCTTTCTCCAAACATAAAGCACCTAAACCTCTCTCTCCCCAAAGCGTTTGTGAAACGTAACTGAATGGGACTCTGGTCCATGCAACACTGAGAAAATTTAGTTCAAGACTAAAATGCTGTATAGTATCTAGACGAGCAAAAACTTTGCCCTTGGTTTTAGGATCAGTATGCGTAATGTGTGAAAATGTCCTGTTTGCATACACTTTTTGCAGATACTTACCAGTAGCTATTTTCCTCCCTAAAACTTTGTGATTTATTTTTAATTGCTGAATAAAAAGCCTAACAGTGGGCTATTTGAGGTCTATTCCTGTTGAACTGCCCCTGGTACATTTGTTTTTCTTTCATCATACTTAACTTCTTGCTGAAGTTGAGTCTTAAGAATTTTTCTAACTTCTCTCTCCTAGGAAAGATCTTCATGCCCAGCATGGTCAGCTGTCACTGTGACTCTGTAGTTGAATAGAAATAGTTAAAAAGGCTACAGAAAGACATCTGAGTTGAGGTCTGAGCTTCTGTCTCTTTTGTGCCTTTCTATAAAGAGATATTTTAATGGCAATTCTTCATCATAAACAAGTGAGTATTATATGTGAAATAATAGCGAGGATCCTTCACAAAGCACTTTGAGATTTATGTATAAGAAATGGTTTCATTAACCAAGACAGATTTAATATTCTTGCTGTTTGTTTTCCAAGCTGCATTGAGATCTTTTGAGCCAACACAGGCACGCCGGATATTTATGTGTCACTTTATATTTTAGTTTACAGAAGTAAATAGGATGCTTTGCTTTTACTGTGTCTCAGAAAGCTTTAGGAGTTTGGGTGTATGGAAGCTTTAGTTGTTTGGGTATATGGCTCTTCTCTTCAATGTCTCTTACTGTTTTTTCTGCTACGCTCTTCATATGTAGATTGTGTGTCTTTTGTCAAATCTTGTGATGAATTTTAAGTAAATTAATACTGGTCAAGTTCCTTGAGGAACCTTGACTGGAAAGCGCCTGAAATACGTCACAGCTTTTCTATGAGGTAGCTGGTAGTCACGTGCATTTGGGAGAATTGTTTGTAGAGACACCTCGACCGATATCCCCAGATGAGAGGTGTGTGGATGTGCGAATTCCCATCGTAAGTATGAGTGTTTATTCATGAGATCGTGGAAACTGTTGGGAAAGTCTTCATTCATTTATTACTTTCTGTTGGTAAGGGGAGGCTTGGGGTACGGTGCGGGGCTGGAGAATCCTTGGAGTGTTTAATGAGCAGCTTTATGCATTTATAGAAGAGCTTGACTAAGACGGAAGCCGTCCAGGAGATACAATGGGTTGTTTCTCATTGGATTTTGAAAGAGAATAACTTTGATCATTTCAAAA